TATTGTTCTATTTGTTAGATATACAGAGTCAGATGTATGCACCATTCGACCAAATATTCGCTATGAACTCATATGAAAAATGCTCACTTAATCTTCAACTAAGAATTTAATTGCATAATATTTAACTCACTTTTCATAATACTTAGAAATGATTTTTCATTCTACCCTGTTAAAATTATTTTACGAGTGCAATATTCTATAGAAAAACATTTAATTTTTTTTCAAATACTTTATTGCTGAAGTAAAATTCAAATTGTTATCTTTTTAGTAAAATTTATTGCATTCAGTGTTTACGCAGATTTTTGAAGCCAAAAAATACGTTATATTTTAAAAAAAGAATTTTACTTTCGAAAAGTAGATTTCCTGAGAAAATTCAAAGAAGATATCTGGAGAAAACTTTTGGCGACTCTGAATAAAGAACTACAGTGGAGTAAACAAGGAGAGCTGCTATCCAATATAATACAAAACTAGTTCAGCTTGTGATCATACAGCTTCTATCTTAGGAGAATTCAAATCCAATTAAGAGAAATCCACTCAAATATAAATGCAGATAAACAACTTCATGTACATTTTCCCAATCCAAGAACGTACAATTAGATGTTATTGGATATTCAAATCAAATTTCAAATAATAATTCATCAAAGAGTAAAATAGAATAGTGCAAGGAATTAGTCAAGAAAAAGGTAATACTAGCTGTTCAGTAATGAATAATTAATGTGATACATAAGAAAGCAGGAAATATCATGTAAGACTACTAAACAAAAACAAATCACGGTGTCTTGTGTAAATTTTATTTCAGAATTTTCGATTGAGATATAAGAGCTTTTGGCATGATAAAAATATTTTCGAATAAAGAAAGATATTTTTGTTTAGTGAACATGTTGAGTGGATACCGATGACGCCTAATTACATTATTTGAAGTTTATAATATAATAATTTTCTTTCATAGAAACAAAATATGACTTTCATTTAATGTTATTCAGATGTGTTACTAGGGGCGTAACCAGAGGGGGGCCCAGGGGGGGGGGGGGGGGGGGGGGGGGGGGGGGGGGGGGGGGGGGGGGGGGGGGGGGGGGGNCCCCCCCCCCCCCCCCCCCCCCCCCCCCGCCCCCCTACAGAGGTCTTCGCCCCCCCCCTAGAAAAAATAAAACCCTGTGAAAAAATAAGTTTAGCCCCCCCTACCATGGCTTTGACCAACGGCTTATCCCCCCCCTACAATTTTTTTCTGGTTACACCCTTATGTGTTACAGTTCTAGTTCATCAGTCGATGCCACTTATTAGCTATTCGATGAGATTATGAAGTGAGTGTAGTTTTGGTTCTAAATAATTAACTGCACAAGAAAGTAAGTTCCAGAAACTTACAACTCAAATAAGTTCATATAGAGAAGATTGCAATTTTTTTGACAGAGCTGTAAGATCAGTACGGATTAGCGCTTAATTTTGTTCAAATTATTTCGGTTTAACGTATTTTGGAGTAAAAGCGATTAAAATTGCTTTAAATTGAAAAATCTACAGCACTTACACGTAATTTAAGTACTCAGTGCTTTACGGTGCTTATAAAATCGCTTTCTAAGCTGAATTCAGCAACTTACTACAAAACCCCGCTTGGAAGCGCTGTTAAAAAGTATCTCTAAGCGATTTTAAGTTGCTTAATATCGATGAATCTACTCTAAGTAGCTTATGAATGGCTTACAATGCAAAACATTTTCACATGGGCTTTGGTTTATATGGAGTGATTTTGAGCAGGGATTGTTGAACGAGACGAAATTGACTTTATTAAATAACAAAATCGGCCTAGATGAGTATTTTGATCAGTATGATATGAAATCGTAATAAATGAATTTTAGTTTTCACTAAATTAAGAGAAAAAATTTGTCATAGAAATAGTGAAATAAATGGGATATAATTTCCAATAGATCTTTATGAAGTGCAGATTGAATTCTTCGATTAAAATCTAATTACAAATTTATTTCTAAAAACGTGTATTGTTACGAAAACGAGCAATGATATTTACTGGTGGTGTCCTGCAACCCGGACCCGACCCGGCGCCGGATCCGGGTACGAAATTGCCGGGTCGGGTGCCGGGTGGAAAAAAAATATCCGGTCGGGTACAAAATTTTAGCGTGCCCGGCACCCAACCGGCGATCAGTGATATCTAAACATTTTTAAAATGTTTCACTTTCCAGATTGTTATTGGTTAAAAAAGGAAACTTATCAAAACAATTTAACTATGAATCATTAGTGAACTACGTACAAAGCACAAGAATAAGTTACGTAAGCGACGAACATATTGTTTTCGTTTTCTTCTAATCGGGGCTAAACACTGAAATAATTCATTTGTAATTGGCGTGGCATATTACTTTGCTTATTAAATTATATGATCAAGCTCGTAAGAATTGAAGAATAAAAAATATTTAAAATATTTTTTTTTATTTTAGATTAAAATTGCTTATTATTTGAAGGCCGGTCGGGTGTCGGGTGTCAAAAAAGTGAGCCGGGTCGGGTCTGGGTACAAAAAGTAGTACCCGTGCAGGACACTATTTACTGGTTGAACTCTTAGAAAATAATAGAAGAGTAATTTTTCCCATAGTATAAAATGAATGATAATTACAATCTATTCCTCTTTATATTGACGTTCTTTTAATATCGAGACATGAGCAAAACATCGAACGTCAATTAACGCAAGAGTCATACTATCAATGTGATAGTGTATTCAAATTAATCAAAGATACTGAAAACTTGTTTTTACTACTGAAACGAAAACAGATTATGTATATATTTATTTTAGGGAATCACAATAACCATTGTTATATATTCTTTGTAAAAAGTTTCTCTTCTCTTCTTTTTTTATCGCTCGTTTTTTAAAATTATCTATATAGTATTCGAAACTCAACTAAATTCTCATGTCAACACTTACATATATAAAGATATATTTTTTTCTTATCTTTAAAAAAGAAATAAAAAAATATATCTAGGTGTCTTAATATTTTGTGCACCATTTTAGATCATCAAGTGGTTCGATCCATCTTTCGATCTATGTCATCATTACCTAGATATGAAACATTGAAATTAAGCCAACCGAAACCTCATGTAACTCTTGTTGAGTTAAATCGGCCGACAAAACTCAATGCTATGAACCTACAATTATTCGAGTAAGATATTCTTTTATACTGACTAAAATGGTATTCTTTTTTTTGAGTGAGTTGAAAACATGTTTCGAACAATTAAACATCGAAAAAGAATGTCGGGTTATAGTATTGACGGGTTCTGGTAGAGCATTTAGTACTGGTAAATTTTTTTCTTACTTTATTAGTGAAAATTGTTTTTTTTTTGAGATATTTTCAGGTATTGATATCGAATATTTATCAGCTGCTGCTGCTGAATCTATTGAAATCGATGATATAGCACGAAAAGCATTACATGTTCGAAGTATGATAGAACGAACACAAGAATGCTTAAGAGCAGTTGATAAAGTAAACAAATAAAATCATAACTCCTTTGGTTTATATATAAAGTTTTGATTTCTAGTGTGAAAAGCCAGTAATAGCTGCTATTCATGGTTACTGTATCGGTGCCGGTGTTGATCTATCAGCCTGTTGTGATATTCGTTACAGTGCACGTGATACGATATTTTCTATTAAGGTATTAGAATTTGCATAGATTAAATATCGAATATATATGTTTGTACGTTTAGGAAGTCGACATAGGTTTAGCAGCTGATATCGGTACTCTCCAAATTTTGCCTAAATTAATTACCGATCATAGTCTCTTCCATGAACTTGTTTTTACATCACGAACATTTGATACCAACGAAGCGCAACAAATTGGACTTATTAGGTAAACATCGTAATGAATATCTCAGATGACAAAGTATTTCATGAATCTTTCGAAACAATGCTTTAGGAAAGCCATAGTGTTGCCGAATTTTACAAAACTATAGAACACAGACTGTTGATTAGATTTTTATAAACCATTCAAAACTGAATAGTGGCTTGTTCATCGAGGTTTCGTGCAATCTATGAATACTGTAGCTTCTATCACCACGTTCGCTGACGGCTTGTAGGGACAAGATAAAGAGTTCGACGGTTGTGATTTCTTGAAAGTTTTCTAATAAAACGACAAAATCAACAGGATCAACTCAGGCAAATCAGTTAATTGCCATTTATAAAAGTAATTAAGATTCCAGTCATTTTTATATCACACACAGTTATGATAAAAAGTACACCATCTACCCTCATCTTCACACATTCTTACACACTTCGTCTATATAAAACACAAAATATGCTAGGGTAATCTGTAAAAATTGTCATATCTAATGCTGCCGTAATTCATGAGTTCAGTTCCGTGTATTTTAATTTTCCCGAAGAAAGAGGCTAATATTTGATCTAATCAGACTTTCGTTTATAGAAGACTCGACATTCGGATGCTTAAATATTTTTATAAGAGTCAAAGATCATCTCGAGAAGAACTGTTAGTATTTCCTTCATCGTCCGTACCTTAAGAAATATTCTCGCATATCACAAATTAACTGAAATAATAAATTATTTCCTGAACTGCTCTATCTTGAATCGAATGATAAAAAATGGATATTGTTTTATTATTCCTAGCCATGTATTTGATACTCGTGAAGCTTTACTCGATGCAGCTATATCTTTAGCAAATGTTATTGCTCATAAGAGTCCTATAGCTGTACAAGGTTCAAAAATCAACTTAAATTATGCACGTGATCATACTGTAGATGATAATTTTACTTTTGTGGTATGTTAATAATTAAAATTTTCTTTATCTAATAAGTCTCCTATTTATTATTTATATAGCGTACATGGAATAGTGCTATGTTATTGTCGGAAGATATCGTGAAAGGTCTTATGGCAACATCGGTATCGAAGGAAAAAAGTAAACTATGAACCAAGTGAAATTGGGCTTGAAGATTATTAAAAATAGAACATTTTCTTTTATGCATACAATGTTGTAGAATACTCCAGATGACGTTGAATAGCTTATTTTAATTCATGTTGATGTTCTTTAACATAATCGATTTTTTTCTTATCAGTTAATCGTTCATGTAATAAATTACTTTTTTCATGAAGATGTGCCATTGTACGTTTCATAAATACATGTCGATTAGGAAGATGATATTGATTACTCAATGTTGCTGCTAACTGTCGACGATTCGATTGAAATTTATTTCTTGAATTTAAAATGAGATGAATTGGAGTCCATATTAGACTTTTTATTCGATGAATTTCGTTGTCGGAGAATGTGATCATATTCTTTTCTAATAAAACGCGTACAGTGATAGATTGGATGAATGCAGAGAGAAAAAAATGATTCGGACATTTTGTGTTCGATTTTCATAGGTTAATGAATCGATATAAAAGCCATTGAATATACGAGGAATAAACGATTCGACATCATGAATTTTAATACATTGCAAAGAATAAAGCGAAATTCATTTTATTGACTTAAAATTTTCTTTTAAAATTTACCATCAATAAAACTAAGTAACTCATTATTATTCCTACCAAATTTTGCCATTTCAAAGGAGCAGAACGATGAAAAAAGTTTAACGATTCTGTAACCTATAAAAATACTTCAATAAATTGAATATCCGTCGCGATAGATATTTTTCAAATTAATTCAATTACTTTTTCTTTAATGATTTCAAATTGTTGTACTTCTAACTTATTTTATAATTAAATCCAGAAATACTTAACTAAAGAAGATCACATAGAAGAAATTATTTTTTTATTGGAAATTAATATTATAATACTATAATACGATCGTTGCAATAATCATATAACTCATACATTAAACCTCCAAGTTGTGCTGAATCGTTAACTAATTCAATATAAAGTGTATTCATATTGGGATGTATTGGATCAACATATAGTAATGAGGAGTGGAATTGAAAAGTAACACAAAAAAAAGCGAAATATTTATTTTACTTTCGAAATTCAAACTACATAAATTTAGAGAAAATAAAATTTTTAAATTTAAATCAATTGAATTATTTGTTACTTTAATTTTTGTTGGTATTCGTAAATGAAGTTCAAGAATAATTTCAGACGTTTCACATTTTTTAATAAGTTCTTCTGATAAATATTCTAGCTGTAAATCAGGACGAAATTTATCCGTTTCATATTCACCTGTTATACATTTTGTTAATGGATAATATTAAAAGAAAAACGAAGCATTTTAAATAAAACTTTTCTTATTTAAATATGAATACCTTCATACTACCAGCGAAATTGGATACAATAGAACGCGGTTGTCCTTTTTCTTGAAATTTCATTTCAGTTATATTCTAAACGACCAGGAACGTTTTACGTTCATATCGGCCCAGTTAGAAAACATAGGCAGTGTCACTTGAAACTTTCAGCAATTATAGGGCTCATAGTCAGTAGTCATTCCTATAAGTTTCACCTTGATCGGTCGAACTTTTCCCGTATTTTGATCACTGTTGGAGTTAAAACTGGACTAGTTATGACTGATCAACTTTTTGGTCGAAAAAGTTAGTTGAGTTATAACTATCAACCATTTTAATTTTATTAGTTTTTTATTCTTTGACAAGCATTAATTAAGCTGACATAGTAAACATCTTCATGTAATTGATATCTTCCATACAATAAATAAAAACGCATGTGTTTCATTGTTTTTTTTCTTCGACACCTAATCATTCATAGATTATTCCCTGGCGTATTCTTATGAATTCGTCGACAAATTATGTTTTCTCTTATTTCCTTCTCGGCTACGAGTACAACGATATATTCTTGGTTGTGCATCATTAAGATTGTCTATGTTAACATCTATATCTATGAACGGAGCGCCAATGCTACTATCATTTTTCTTGAATATGCGTTACGTGTATATGGTTCCGAATTAAATATCTACGGACGTTTTATAAAGTAAATCGATTGAACTTTGAAGCTGTTATAACTTTCAAACAAAGTTGTAACTATCAACTCTTGTTAGAACCAATGACAATAGTTTTATCCTTGAACTTTGTCGGTATGGATGTGAGTGTGGGTCTGGATATGATGAGGAGATCAGCTCCGAGAGTCACACCACACCCACACCCAACATTACTTAGATACACATGGGTCTTGCTCATTGTATTCTGCTTTTGTTTTATTAATTTCTTATTATATTTATGTACATTAGAATTAATTTAAGTCAAAGTATAGCACTCATTCAGCATTACTTTATTTTTTTCAAACTGTCGTAGCTACATAGTCTCCTGAAAACAGAAAATAACAATTATGTTGTGTATTTTTGGGACTGTAACTCATCGGTGATAAACACAATGACAGATTCCAGGAGCCACATTCTCGAAAAAAAGGAATGATAGGGCAACATTGCTTTGGTTCCGTTTTAAGAAACTATGTATGATTAGTTTCAGAAAAAAACAAAGTAATACTTAGACAAAATCATTGCTTTTTTTATAGCGCTATACACTTAATTTACTTTATGTTAATTCTTTATTTAACAATCCTAATTGATCAATACAAAAATGCGGATGTGGCGTTGAAGGTGTGAATCAAAGGTCTACGCACACGCTTACACCATTACGAAAGGGTAGTCACAGTTGAACATTGGATTCTATCATAATTGAATAGTACACATCCGATAGGTATTGGCCAGTTTTTTTTAAAAAGAAATCCAGGTAGTAAATTCCAATCGGATTGTCGAAATACTCTTCATGTCTAACTATACGGTCTGTTGATGGTAAGAGCTTCAGTTCTTATCTAGAAATCATTCGTAAGAAAAACTATATTTTACTATAAAATGTTACAACAGATTTTTTGTTTTTTTAGTAAGAGACTCACGACAAATTAAAATGACATATACTACAATAAAACAAAAAAACAAATAACGCTCATTGAGAATTGGTTCACTCGGTCCTACACTGACACTGACGTACTAGATACTTATAAAGAATCTAGTATATAAAAATAGTAATAGCTGAGTAAAAGGATATGACTAAATAAAAGATAATAATAATAATGTCAAAAGAAGCTAGCAACTAGCTGTTTTCCAAGTAAACATTCAGAATTCATATGAGAAACTATTTTGACTTCTTTCTCTAATATAAAATGTTCCCTCTTGCCAATGAATCGAAAGGCTATTTCACTGTAGAAAATATGTCTTCCAACTGTACATTTTCGTTCTTTGTATTACAATATAAATTTTATAGAAGCAGTGATCATTCGATAAGAAACCGATCTCAATTATCCAAGTGAATTCCAGGGAGTAAATAAAATTACACGTCCTATTGATTACCGACACGATAGAATAAGTTCAACACATACTTCGTTTCTCATTCAAACTTGATGCTATCGATAGTATACGTCACTGGATTCGATTGATGATATAAAAATTCAATAAATCAAACTGAATTTTCCTCAAAAATAAAAGTTCATACATCCTTTCATTACAATATCGGAGTAACTACTCAAAGTAAATAATGATCTAATTGTAATAGGGTGTGCGTGTATCGGAACATTTTAGTCAGCTCAAATGCACACCCACATACACGCCGAATGGATGGGAAAATGAAGAAAGGAAAAATGTCGAAAACAAGAATATGGGATGAACATGAGCATGGAAGATTGAATTGAGGGTGAAGGAGATTTGCACTTCAATATACTCTCGTTTTCAGCATTTCTATCCATCTGTATGTGTATTCATTTTATTTTCGTCATTTTTCCCTTTCAATATTTTCCCTTTCTTCCTTTTCCCATCATACCTACACGCCCGCGTCCTCAGTTCATTTCTAAGAACAGCTGCAGCTGCCATTACTGTACTTGTGTTTTAAATTGAAAGAAAATGAATGTCTTCTCAAATGTTGCTTATGACGCATGAAAAAAAAGGAATAATCCAAAATAATGATTCATAACTCAAATAAACAGAGTGAGAACAAAACAACTAGATGTCGCTGACCACGGCACACTTATAGTCAGTACTGGCTAACAATACTTTTGTTACAAAAAAACGATGATGTCACAAATTCGAAAGCACCGAAATAAACAAAACCACCAATGGAAATCCACGTAGTGCGAGGAACAACACCACAATATAAACTAAAGTTAGCAAAAATGTTTTTCTTTTGTATTCTGTTAGTGTATTTAAAGATAACTTACGCTGAGAAACCTTCAGTTTTGAGAATATTTATAATGACTTGTAAGAAATGAGAACTAGCATCAGGATGAGAATGCTAAGAAAATAAAAATAAAATAGTGCTGCTTAAATATTCTATCGAATAGTTACATGAGCGAGCATTATTCAAGCTTTAGCAACATCTGAAAAGAAAACATTTAGAAAGAGAAAAACACACTTCAATCAATCTACCTAATGGAGTTGTAATTGATGCGGCTATTCCACCGGCTATAGATCCGCATAAAGCTCCTTGCCATGGAGATACTGGATAAGCTTGCTTTATGCTTTGATATTCCTACTTTTAATTTTCGCAATCAAAGCTAACAAAAGAAAAAAAAATTTAAACGAACTTTAAAAAATTCCCACAGTGGATATTGAATCATTGAAAATGGAATTTCTCTTGCTAAAGTTGCAAAATATCCTCTGTAAAGACCTGATAAACCCTTAAAAGGAAAGAGCAAATCATTGAATTAGAATTGATTGGAAAAAGAAAATTATTCGTACTTCATCTCGAAGACATGATCGAACAATTGTTGATAAACGTAAATTTCGATTAACTTGTGCACGTTGCTTAATAACTGCAGTGGGCACACGTACAAGACATGCACACTATAAATAGACAACATTTAAATATTATTCTATGTTTTTCTTTCTATACCGTTTCTCCAAAAGCAGCAGCTATCATAGAAACTTGACTAGAAGATGATGAATTTGCAGTTTGTTTTATTAAATTATAAGAAAGAAAAAATATTGCTGATGATGGACCACTGCCGATCATAGCAGAACCAACACCGGAATATAATGATGAAAATAGAAACCTTCTATGAAAATTGGCTTTTTGTTGAAGTCGAGTTTTTACTGTATCGATCGGATATAGTAACAAATCAACTGTACATCCCGCTAGTGAACCACTCTTAAAGAAAATTTTAATATAGAATTTTTCAATTGAATAAACATACTATTAGTGAACGTTGGACTGTTTCAAGTAAGTCAATGTCTGTCATATTTAGGTGTTTAAATAGCGAATAAAGATCTTTAGTAATATTAATGTCGGATGTATGAACAATTTTCGTACATGATCATATTCAAATAGCGTGTTGTGCACACTAATCACAAAATATATTGTATGACTATACGCAAATAGTTTGCACAACGTCATTTAGCTATGTTGCAAGAATAGGTATATGGTGGGAATGGGAAGTGACGTAGTAGCAATGAGGTAATGCTGAGTCACCTTATTTGGTTTGCTGGGCTGTTTCATGGGATTTCAACCAAAAGAACACAAAATATCCAAATCTTTTTTATTTTCATCTAGTTTTGTAGAGCATGTTTTGCTGATCATTTTTGTATAAAATAAAGTTAAAATTCATAAATAAAAAACTTTTTATAGCGAAAATACTAAAACTGTTTTTTTATTAAAAATACCTTAGGTTTTTCGGTATTTTAGCCCTAGTGCAGTTATTTTTAGGCTTTTTTTGAAAAAACAACATACCAAATTGTTCAGCTCAATTAGCTCTACAAGATAAGATAATTTCAAATTACTTAAAGCCATTTTTCAATGATTTCCTTAAGTAAGAGTGTGAGTGTGAGTGTAGATCTTCTCATCATGCTCACACTCACAGCCAGCAAGAAAGTCATGTGGTATGGACAAATCTAAGGTCTGCACAGATCAAGAATTTGAAAAAAATGTTCGCCTAGGGAAGGCTAATGCTTTGGTAGAGAGATGCAAAAATTATATACAGATTTTTCAAAAAGAATCGATCAATGTGATAGAATATGTCAACTGTTGAATATTTTCAGTCGCATAATCATTCTTTGAAGTAAAATAGAAATGCTAAGAATTAAAAATAATGATTGAGTAGTGATGTGAAAAATACTAATATTACATCAAGAAAAAATGCCATAGAAAAAGAAAACCATGAGCACTATTATAAGAACAACGTCTATGTGGATGATTAAGAATATAAAAAGAATGAACCAATTACGATGATATTTTACGATCGCGAAAGTCAAAGATTCGTTTTTAATAGCTTGAACAGGATTCATTCAACAAGAATAATTACCACATACGATGTTAAATTATTATATGATATTTAGGTAATAGATAAAATTACTAAAAATTTCTTCTTCAAAAGAAAATTTCATTCTATTCGAATTCATTCACTTGATAACAACAAATATTTTTTGTTGTCAAGATAAGTAATTGAATTTATAATAAAATTAGAACAGAAAATAAGAATATTATTGAAGATTCGATGTATTCCAAAAGAATTTCATGATATTATTTTGTGTTTTCCCATTAAGTGTGCAATTCAACCGAGATATATTAGTTTTTAATAATTAACAAAGTTATGTATGCCACTACTTCGAATACTATTTGTACGACAAGCGCATAATTACCAAAAAAACAATGAAACAAGATGATACTTTATAGATCATATATTTTTACTTGAATCATATAAAAACCTACTTTTATGATTGCTTGATATCGATTAAACAAAAACAAAGTTGAGGTGCCGCTAAAGCAGAATTGGAGTAAATTTTGTTTCTCGTTTATTTATATATGGTTTGATAGAGCTTGAAAATTTGATCAAGAATATGTACTTTTTATTTCGATTTCATCTTTTTTTGGCTGAGAAAATCTTCAAAAACAAGAACGACTGAAAAAATGCTGTTTTTATGTTAAATTTAAATTTTTTACAAAAACTACCAAATTTNCAGAATATAGTACTTTGGCAATACTCAGAAAAGAGCTGAAATAAAAATTTGGCAATTTTTGTAAGAAAAACAAAATTTAACATAAAAATATGTTTTTCTCAGGTGTTCTCATTTCTTAAGATTTTCTCAGCCAGACAGTAACTAAATAGAAATAAAAAGTATATATTCTTGATCATCTTTTCAAACTCTATCAAACCATATATAAATAAGCGAGAAACAAAATTTACTCCAATTCTGCTTTAGCGGCACCTTATATCAATCGAATATCAAATAATTCGTCGTAGCTCTATATTGGACGATCTATTTAACAGCAATGTAGATTAAATGTTACTCCAATAATTCGGTAAAAAAATTAAATTGAGTTTTTAACAGTTTTATTTTTAGCACAAACAGAATATCTATATTGATATTCTGTATTTTTGTTTTCGTTTCAAAATATATAGGCAATTTAACTTATTCAATGCAGCAGTAATCTTTAGTTTGAGTAATTTAAAAGCTCCAAAAATGTTTTTTCTCAACTTGTGATTATATATTCCGGAGTCTAGAGTTAATATTTTGATGTATTTTACAGTTTTGTATTCTACGTACGCGTCGTTTTCATGATCTTATTGGTTAAGAAAAGAAACAAACATAATTATTCTTGGGAAAATTGCGTCACTTAAAAGTTGTTAGGTTCAACGAAATTTGTTTGATATTTCTTTTTTATTTAAAATAAATAAATAACTAATAGATTCATATCAATATAGAGACATATCGATTGTAGCGTTCCTATCGTATTGTTTATTATATTCTCAACGAGACTGGCCATCTCTTGTTCTGCCAGGGAATTCTATTATTCATTTATTGAGAAAAATCGCAAAATGCCAAGAGGCGAATCGACATCAGTTGGTAAAAATAAATTACGTCTCACTTTACCACAGGTACCAAAAGAGTTCGTGGAACACAGTGATAATGAAAATGGGTATGAGAAATATTTGAATCAAAAGGAAATACAATTTAACCCTTTATTTCTTTGAATTTTAGTATCCTAGATGTATGTATCGAATCTTTAGAAAAAGACTTGGAACAACTTGATTGTACCGATAAACAGAAAGATCGGATGGAAGAATTTTTCAATTCAAAACGTGCTATGGGAGAATTAAAACATGATGATCTTGTCAATATATGTGAATTAGGCCAAGGAAATGGAGGTATTGTTTGGAAAGTTCGTCATAAACTAACAGATAAGATAATGGCCAGAAAGGTGTGTTGGTTAAAGTTCTATTTTCCTACTTTAATTAGATTTTTTATTTTAAGTAGTAAAAATAAGAAGCCGATAAAAATAATGGAAAATTTTTCATTTGTTTGTTCTATCATTAATTGAGTTCTTCTAGATCGTTAATATATGAAACTTCCTTAGAATTTTCTCGTTGCTAAAGCTGAGATCATTTATTGATTTGATTTATACATTTTGAATTTCTCACAATTTTGAAATCACAATTAAAAACGTAGTCGATGACTGTATTAATATTTTTAAAGACTCAACGTGTATTAGCCAAACCGTTAAAGAGTTAAAAATTTTCTATGACTTTCGATAGAAGTGTGTACAGTGTACTTAGATTCTTTATGTGAAATCGACATCGGTAGATATGAACGTTTCCTTTAATTGAATCGCTACACTAATTGTTTAGTATTGTACGTTTACGAATATTGACGATCATTGGTGTACTTGGTGTCAATGGTTTTGGAATTCTCTTTCACCGAAAAAGGTAGACTTATTGCATGGCTCGAAACAAAAAAATTCGAAAATTCTCCGTTCACTTCTCATTTATTATCTTATTAATGACTGAATACAAAATATATTGTAACATTTCATTTTAGGGAATCTACTTAGAAGTTAAGCCAGCAGTGAAAAATCAAATCGTTCGAGAACTCAAAGTAAATTAGTTTATTCTTTTATGCTTGACGAGAATTTTATATAACTAATATTTAGGTACTTGATCGATGTAATTCGCCGTATATTGTTGGATTTTATGGAACGTTTGCAGCTGAAGGTCAAATTAATATTTGTATGGAATATATGGTAAATAGAAACATATTCATAAAATTCTAGCACAAGTTTTAGAGAACTTTTCCATGTAACATAATCATTTAATAGCTAATATATGAGCTAGTAAAATCATAGGTGCTTAGAAAAGGTATGGATATTTTAGTACTCGAGATCACAGTTAACTTTCTATTATTGATAAATCGGTGATGATAAAAAATTAGAGTAATATGTAAATAATGTTTCTTCTTTCAGGACGGTGGCTCATTAGATTTAATTTTGAAGAAAGTCATGCGAATTCCAGAACATATTCTTGGTAAAATTACTGTTGCTGTAAGTTATTTCTAAGAATCAAAAACAAAAACCAATCAAACATTTAAGGTTCTTCGTGGTTTAAGTTATTTGCGAGAACATCATCGAATTATGCATCGAGGTTAGGTTTTCTTTGTATTTCTTTTTTTTTGTTTACATCATTTATATATTCAGATATCAAACCATCAAATATTCTTGTTAATCATCAAGGTAATTTATTTGACCAAATATTTCTTTTGTTTTGAAAATATTTTAATTTGAATAGGAGAAATAAAATTATGTGATTTTGGTGTTAGCGCACAATTAATTAATTCGACATTACAAACATTTATTGGTACTCGTTCGTATATGTCTGTAAGTCATAGATCTTTTTTTTTAATTTTCTCGAGGTAAATTAAAATATTTCATTGAATAGCCTGAAAGACTTGAAGGTGCTCATTATGGAATAATGAGTGATATATGGTCATTAGGTCTTTCACTTGTTGAAATGGCTCTTGGTCGATATCCGATTCCACCACCATCAATAGAAGATATTGATAGATTATTTGACGTAGATCCCTACGGAAATCAATCAAGACTAGAAGGTTACTTTTCAAACAAATTTTTTCTTCATTTTTCTTCTTGAAAACTTTTAGGATATGGCTGTTATAAAGTTTTAGCAATATTTGAATTGATGGAATGGATTGTTAATGAAGCACCACCATCATTACCACAAAAACATTTTTCTCCTGAATTTTGTGATCTTATTGATCGTTGGTAAACTAACTATTAAAAGTACTTTTTTAATTTTATTTGGTGTTTTTTGATTTAAATTTTAGTTTAAAAAAAAGCACAACAGAACGAGCTGATTTAAATACACTTTTGGTAAGAAAAAAAAAGAAAAAACACTATTGATTTAACTTTTTAATATAATCTAACTTAGCATCATCCATTTTATAAACGATATGCAACAGAGAGTGATAATCAAGATGTTTCTCTGTGGATAGAGCAAGTATATCAAAAAGATCAAAGCCTAACAAATGACAATAATAATAACCAATATGGTAGAAGTTAATTCAAATTTAAACAAAATATTGAGTCAGATGTGTAATGATCATTGTCGACACGAAAACCATAATAAACACATTTTTTCTTTGTACAGATTTGTTTTTATTTTGCGCCAGTAAAATCGAACGTCTGCAAGTGTATTCTTTGTATATAAACAGTGATTCATATATGCGTTTTTTGTCATTTTGCAATGATTATGATTTTATTTTACAATAGATGGCTGTGTTTTTTTATTTTATTAAAAAAGAAGAAACGAACCAGATTAATGATACTCATTTTGCTATTGTTACTATTTCTAAAATATATCTTTTGAAAAATGTTTTTTATTGCTTCTTTTCTTAAAGATGGTTTCATTATGTCGTATACAAATGATGATAGAACTCCAGACGAAAGACTACCTTTGCAGATACTGGATACTGAGTACAGTACAAAGTATTTTTGTACTTCTTTTTGCAGTAGAAATGAAATTACTTGTATTTCAAAAGTAAATTGCGCTCTGAAAAATTCTCTGGGCATTTGAGGATGTGGGTGTCGGTGTTAAGCTTTCTTTTGGTTGTAAGCCTCACACTCGCCCAAACTCTGTATTTTATTATAGGACAAATTCATTCTAGACACAAAGTCGATTGCTGAAAAGGAAAGGTTGAGACTAGCAAATTGATTTGTATGATAATGATATAGGTCAATTTGTTTTCAATTGATCCTTTGAGAATAAGCCTCGTTAGTCATATTTCTCTCCATAAACATACGCACACACTCTCGGATTACATTCAACTATATTGATCGACGAAGTGGCAGATAAAATTACTAGTTCTGCGCGAACGGGCGGACTGCACCCTTAGCGCCCGCTTCGGAACATTGTTTACAGCATTCTTCAGCGCATTTACAACAGTCTTTAACGTAACTCCAGCATCCAAACTTTTTGCAGCAGCAATACAGTCCGCAGAGTCCAAACGTGAAGATAATCAGTACAAAAACAGTAACAATTATGCTGGCAGTATCAGTGGAAGCGCCAGTCACAGCGGTGGTATTCGTAGTGATCATAGCACTTGATCATGTAATGATGAGTATATTGAGAAGGTAAGTTTTCGATCAAAGTGATTATTGCTGCTTGATACACTTTAATAAAAGTTGTTGTTGAGTGTAGCCGATCGTAAATTTATCTGTAATTAATAGCTCAGGTCGAATAATGTGACATTTGGATGTGGTCAGAATCAGGCTGAATTCCATCGAACATCATCGGATACATGACCACATTCAACGGATTTGACCAGGTTCGCTCGAAATCCTCGAATCGGAGGGTGTGGGTGGGGGGGGGGTGGTGATGGTGTGGGTGTGGATAAAGACAAGACTAATTCCCACACCCAGGTATTTACTAAGAGATTTTCTCGAATGCAAAATTTTTTCGAGTTAAGAATAAAGTAGACAATTATATTAACTTAGATTATCCTAGTTCAAAAAAATGCTTTTTTCTAAAAATTATTGATGTCTTTCAAAAAATCGATAACTTTAATAAATGTAAATCAGTTATACGTACTAAAGTTGCACGTTTTTGTTCCCAACTACACTGTAAAAAATATCCGTGAAATAAAAAACGAAAAAAGGGTTTATGAAAGTGCAATGTGTCACAAACCCTTTTAAAGGGTTTATTAAGATGGTATAAACCCTTTCATAAACCCTGAAAGAGGGATGAATATAGGGTTTATGAGTTGCAAAAACTGGCTCTGAAGGGTTTATGAAAGGGATTATAAATTTCATAAATCCTTAAAGGGTTTGCTATACGTTGCAATTTTATAAACCCCTTAGAAAGGCTGATTGATTCAATTATTGTGATTGTGTATAATATTTTCTCTTCCTCCTATGTGTTAACGTGATAATTCTCTTGTTTATTAGTAAATTTATTGGCGTTTCGATCGATGAAATCGATCTTCTTCAGAATAAAATAGGAAAGGAATACAGAAAAATTTGTTTTACTGATGACTCATGCAATTGTGAATTTTTTCTTTATTTTTTTTATAAATATTACAGTATTGGTACGGAAAAGACGCTATTTAGGTGTCCGTACCAGTACTGTAATATAATACTTATGAAGAAAATAAACAAAAAAGTGACAATTGGATGAGTCATCAGTAAAACAAATTTTTCTGTATTCATTTCCTATTTTATTCTGAAGAAGATCGATTTCATCGATCGAAACGTCAATAAATTAACCAGCAGTGTCACATATCAAAAATTTTGGAGATGCCACCACATCTCACGCGGGAGATGCCGCATCTCGCGCGAGAGATGTGGGTGTGGGTGTGGGGGATGCGCATCTCTAAAGGAGATCTTACATCTCCAGTGGTGAATGACCGAATCTCCCGACTGTGGGTGTCACGTCTCCAGCGGGAGAGGCGGTGGCATCTCCAAAATTTTGGATATGTGACACCACTCAAATTAACTAATAAACAAGATAATTCTCAGGTTAAAGCATACGAAGAGAAGAGAAATTTGAGAGAGAGGATAATTAAATCACCAGAAAACAAAGCAACTTCGTAAAGGATTGCAGTTAGCGGTTTAAAACAAATACATCCAGAAAGCCTCTAAATCCATCTATTTGACTAAGAAACTCCTTAGAATTTCATCCTAACTTCGTAAAATGCTAAAGTAAAATTATCTTATGATTCTTCTGTAATGTTATAATAATCATCTAAACTTCTACTAAATATTGAACTTTTAGCAGTATTAAAGTAGCACTCTTCAGGGTTATCATTGCTCGAAGATCCCGTTCCTGACCTATTTACACTCTTCATCTATGAAATTGTACAATTGTTTCACTTACTTGCGATAATATTTGAGTTTGACCATGTTGTTGTGTTTGATTCAAAGAGAGCAAGCAAATTTCATTTATAGAGCCATTCATTTGTTTTGAATATGTTTTGTCTGAATCAATACGGAAAATCAGTAAGTGATTAGAAGAACAGTTCTTATTGAAGACATTACTGATATTGTCAATGTATTGCTCCCTCTTACATTGAACATTTATTATTAATTCCGCTAATTGAAAGTACTGCTTGATACAAATCAATCTTCGCATGAAAAAAGACAATTAAAATATTAAAATGAAAGGCACACTCACCTATATCTTGAGGGTGTGGGTGTGGGTGTGGGTGTGGGGTGTGTGGATGTGTGGGTGTGGTTGCTCATAAGAGAAACATCTACAAACACACTCACACTCACACCCATACATTGACGGGCGTGATCGTGTTTGTGCTTCGTAGAAAAGCGTTGTGCATCGATCGAACAGTGTCATTTTTTCTCATCATTATTTGCATCCATTCTCGATCAACTCGCGTTTCTTCGTATTACCCCCAAATCCTACATGGACGCATGTGAGAAGGGATCCAGATGATGGTGCTTTCGCTTAGTAGAAAGAGTGCTGCCTATCGGTGGATCAGCCTCATTTTCTCCCATCATCACAACAACGATGCTTGGTATTGTGTCTCTATTAATATCTGTTCTGACGCTGACGTCAGCGTTTGATACAGGTATAGTTCATCTTGGAGCTACTGCTAGTATGTAGATCCTGTTCTCTGCGTTTTAAATTTCTTCACTTGACTGTTCGATATACGAATCAGAGAAGCAAATTATTCAATCCCTTCCATTCGCTGTCTTCATTAATTCGGTTCAACGGGCAACGTGACTGAACTATATTTGTTTGAGAGGTTACAAGTCGTACCACGCTCCATATTTTGTCTCACCAAATTGGGGGTACTATCAGTGACGTCTTCAAATTTCACTATTCCAGCAGAAATCAGTCGAGTCTCTTCAACTCTCAACACGCTGATGATTTCAAACATCAGTGAAACGCAAAAACATCTTCTAGGCGAATTGTGCACGTTGAGCCGCTTGCAGACGCTCATTCTCATTAACTGTGGACATTGAGACTATCTCGAATGACATTGGAAAACTGTTTCAATTAAAAACACTCAACCTCAGTGGGAACATACCTCACAGGAATGAGAGCATCGCATTGTGAACCCGATCATCTACCACTTAACTTGCTTCAATTAATCAATCTCAATTTGAACGACAACAAGCTCACCTCACTCACCGGCATTGGAGCAACCGGCGTAAAATGGTACCTCAATCGCCATCTCAAGTACTCATTCAAGAACAACCAGATCACATCTATTCCGGACAAAATAAAAAAAATGGGGTCTGTGTCGGCTCTCGATTTGTCTGATAATTAGCTGACGACGCGCCCAAAGCAATTTATAACATCAAACTTATGGAAAATTTGGAAACGTTTAACGCTGAGAATAATCGATTCAGCAGTGCTGAACTTGAAAGGATTGCTGGTCGGTTTCGTGAGATCAGACGTGTTGCCGTATTCTTGTGAATATCAATCTGTCGGTGGTGGATTGTTTGAGAAATAAATAAAATCATAGCTTACCAGACGCAGGATATCGTTCTAGTTTAACCCACCGTTTACCAAAGAAGTTTCCTCTTGATATACATCCTATGTGAAGCAATGCATCGAACTCCTCCTTTCTATTATCGAGCATATAGAGAATGCGGGTGTGGGTGTGTTGATAGTGTCTTCTCTCACATCCATACCCACACCCACACCCTTTCATTATAGTGTATTATACATCTATATAGCTTTGTATGAGATTTGCTTGGGTAGAATATCTATAGATAATTCGATCATTCTCAACTATATTTTACTAATGGATTTTGACGTCAGCGGTTTTATTGAATTCATTCAATACCCCATATTTCATGTTCATTGAAGAAAACCGAAATGCTTACTCTCACTGGCGCAAGTACAAGCCTACATCCAAGAACTCAACCAATTGTTGTTTGGTTATTCAAGTTAGCACTTTTTCGAACAATGAAAACGTTAAATAATTCTTTTTCGATAGAATCAATCATTATTATTCGTATGAACAGTTATGTTATTTCTGTATTATAAACAGATCCAGTTTAACACGATTTTTTTTGCAAGCCTTTATATTTTGGCAGAACGTCCAAAGTTTCAGATATTGAGTTGTTTCCAATACTGTAAGTAACCAAGCGTGACGCATGATTATAAAATTCTTGCCACTGAGCAGCTAATGTTGGCGTCCACTCGATCGTATTGATCCAATCCACTAGTTCTGTATGATTCGATGTTGTCCTATGCAGCCAGAAACAAAACTTTAATCTTTGATCTGTCGGACTTTGAACTTACGACACTCGGTTGCTTATGGTGTGCCATGCATCTGGATGGTTCAGCGTAAAGCATGCGTACAAATTGTTTTGAAGAGAATAGTAAGTTAATTGATGAAAAAACATTTCATTTGTTGTTCGTTGACCTCCCTGACAATGATCAAATCATATTTAGTTCGATATATGAATGAAACAATTTTACCAATGTAACAGTATTCTTATTCATAGTGTTGTATACACATTGTGTGGCAAATTCATCTCCCTGACAAAAATGCATCATATTTTAGTTAACAATCAATCAAGTGATGATCATTCTCACTGGATACAGTTTGATTGGTTCAGGTAGTCGATGATCAAATTGATAGTTGAAATCGTACATCTCACCATTGAACATGTACCGTACCGCTGTATTATTTCGAATCAATTTCGTCGAAAGGGATACACCTATGTGTATATAGATAGCTCGAGTTTTATTGCAATGTATCTGTAACGTACCTTGAAGATGCGTATGAAGATATGAAGAAACCACGGTAATGCCAGATTCCGGAATATTCTAAGCAAATATATGCTTTCATTAATTTCTTAGGCAAGGACAGATTCATCAGTCAATCTGCAAAGTTTGATTCAGTAAAATTCTATCGGAATGAAATTTGAATCGATTTTTGTCAATGACATGACTGCAAAGCGTGTCCCAGGAAGTCTTGTAACCATGGGACACTCTATTTGGTTTTTTAAAATTTTGTTATGGAGACTCAGTGATATTCTAATAGAAATAAATTATGTTTTTCGAATACACTTTCTGTTCTATTTTTTTACAGAGGCATGCATTACGAGTCACATAGCCAAAGAGTGAAGCAGTACATATTAGCCCCTATTATATTTAAAATTTACTTCATCAATCATAAGAATCAAAGACAGAAATAATAACAATGATTAACCAAACTTCTAGCGCTCTCGCATAATGAACTATAAATAACTGATTCAGAAAGTTAATTCATCATTGAAATTGAAAAGATATTTTACTTTTAATAAGACATTGTTGAGAGGATCCATGCGAGTTCTAGTACATCCACATATACAAATAGATTATTGTGCACTGATTCAATCATTTTTTCGATAGAATATTCTATTTCAGAATTAATGTTAGGTGCCTTCACGATATATTTCATTCTAACTCCTAAGTGCCATATTTCAAAACTAAGATTTGATAATTCTGGTTCGTAATTTCTGAGAAGAAAAAATATGAGATCCAAAGTATACTTTGCTGAATCCGCTTGGACAATACGAGTCGACCATGAATCGCTCAACCTTTGGTGGAATTGCTAGAGCAAGAACACTAACAGTGGTTCCGAATGCTAGATAGCCAATATAATACTGGCGAAGCTCTTGTCCAATGTAAAATCGAATACCCGTATTATCACGACGATCTAAGCAAGCAAACACGTTTTCTACATTGCACTTTTGTTCTCTTTGAGATGTTATCATAAAGAAAGTTTTATACTTGGTGTTAGTTTTTGATTATTATAGTGCATCTCAAGCATGTAATATTTGCTGCCAAAATCACCACCAATAGGATAACCAGCTTCTTCTGGAAATTCGACAATCTATATAGATAAATCATTATTCATGATATTGAACCTGACATCGAGTTTGAGAAAGAGCGAGTCTTACCGGTTCACCGCCTACTGCCCAAATAGTAGCGGTGCCAGTGAAACAAGAAGAAAGTTCTTGGTGATGTTCATCACATACACCATATGGCAGATTGTTATCATCAAATTTAGCTGTTGATCTACATGCGAAAAACACAAGGTGATGAACTATATCGATATTATTCGGATCGATCATTGTTTTGTGCTGGAAGAAATGATGAAGTTTCAAATGATGTAAGAGAAAAACATTTAAAAAGTTACAGCAATAGCGTGACGTTTTGTTGGATATTCAGTCGGAGCTTTGAATACTTTACAATAATAAGTTGTGTCTTCAGGTGGAATAACATCCTAAAAGAGATAGAGATCGGTGGTAATGTTACAGAAGAGGCATGTGCCTGTCTCACGTTATTCATACGAAATTCAAAATAATCGAGACCGGCAAATTTATTTTCTGGCGGTGAATTTGCATATGATTGAAGTGGAATCATGCGTGAACCACGTCAACCTTCATGGTAATTAATATCACCAACTGGATCGGTAAGACTATACGCATATATGACTACATTTGTTCCAGACTATAATCAAAATTATCATTATAATGAGTATAGCAAACAGAATGAATACTCAACTGTAATCGAAACATCCATGGGATCACATGTGTCAATGAGACGTTTGAATTGAATAGCGGTCCATCCGTCGGATTCACGCCCACGTAGAGCAAGCCAATTACTAGTTGTATTATCGAGAATCGGTATAGCAAATCGGATGCATATCGATCCTATACGCTAAAGCTATTTATTCAAGTGGTATAGAACATTTTGATCGGACCTGAAAATGAACTTTTCCGATATTATCAACCCATCCAACTCCAATATCAGCACCTTTCATGCCACCATCTAGAGAAAGAATATTCAATGTACATCTAGAATTGACCGATCTGTTGATATTCTACCTGGACTAATGCCTAACGCTATCCACCCTGTAGTTTTCATGTGCAGTTCAAAAGTGATCTCGTTAGCATCACTATCCACTGTCCACCAAAGATCGGCTATATCCGGTTGTAGTTCAATTGAGTATTTATAGGTAGTGAATGGCTGAATCAGACTGGAAATAGCAAGAACATCTCCGATAATTAATAGTAATACAATAAATAACATTCTTCGTAGTGTATAACAGCACTCTATCAGCACACTGCGAATTTTATGCGTATGTCAACTCGAAAGACACTATAGATAGTATATATTCGCATCATGTATAAAAAAAACATAAAGAAAGCAAATACGACTCTTCTCACATTTAAAATAGATTATTTTTATTGAAGACTTATACCATTCAATAGAAAAGTGCGACATATAAGATGAAAATCCAGCTCAATATTTGCTCTGTATTATGAGATTGATTACGATGGCTAGGTATGTGTTTGTCAATCGTGCTTGTGAATAGCATCAACAAGCTAATGAAGTCATAGATTAAATCTTCTGTATCATCCAATGGTAGTACATAATCAATTGGTAAAAGGTGAATTATGATGTGCAGTAATGTGTACTACATGCATTAATAAAAGTGAAACCTTTGAAATAATCTTTTGGCTGAATCATATAAATTTATGTACAATTGTTGATGAATATAGGTTTTTTCATTGTTCTAGAATTCCAATATAAAAAATGTGAGATTTTTTTTTATATGCGCATTCAATTTTTTAAATAAATACGGGTACATCAATTCCTCCTGTAGACTTGCAGGTGGCTCAAACTGACTAAGAATCGACTCTCATGGGATTCAAACACGTAAGAAGCCAGCGACGTATCATCTTACTCATGCTACGCATTTGCAGATCATAACCGATGTTACTATCTAATATGGTACTTAAAAAAGCTTTGTTGCTGCCATATTGTTTGTACAAAGTATACGTACTACCCATGGGAATGTTTACGTGATTTCTGGAAGTATTTTTGTTGTTGTTGCTGTAAAAGTTATGAAGAATACAAGAACTGTCCAACGTCTTTCTCAATAGCATACATGGAACAACTTTCATCTAATAACCGAGTAGCACCTGCATCACCTAAACCATCAACGAAGGAACCCTATATGATTTGAAATCCCACACGAACAATTCGCGTGACGAATCAGGACAGTAGAAACTGTACTCATTTCATTTTTAAATCCTAAACATTCTTACGAACGCGTATATTCTATATAGAATTCATACGTTGTGGAAAAATCTGTATCATTCTTTACGCATTGGAAAAATACTGAAAACTTCCGAAGTATAAAAAGATTCGATAATATTCCTTTGTCTCAAGAGTAAGATACTTTTTAAATTAATGCTGTATCCTTCTTAATTCAAAATAAATCTCAGTTCTCATAAATCGCAAATAGCTAATGCTTTTTGAAGATGTTAACGATTGAATGATATCATCATTCTGTTGCACTTTTCTGTGCTATTAGATAACGACTGATTATACAGAATATGCCTATAATCGAATTATGCGGAAATGGTTTAAGTTCGTAGACATGAAATCATTTGTAGCTTTTAGGGTAAATGTGGTAATTAAATAATGTTCTTTTCTTTTATACATGCATCGATTAATAGGTACAGATACATACCAGCTGCCCTCCAAGTATATTAAATTTTCTTTATTATACTTGTCTAGATTGATTTTTCACTAACATTTTTGTGTAGTAGCTTTCAATTAAAAGAACACAATTCATATTTGAAAAATATTGCCTATCATCTTCGAGCTCAAGTAAAGACGTGAATGAGCGGATATTTTTCTCAGATGATAATCTAATATTCTACTGATTTTTGAAGTAATTATTATTTTATTATTTATTTCTCAATACTTATTCACCGTCGCCAATGAAATCGAATCGCAAATGTTTTATTCATTTACAATAATATTTGTAAAATATAACAGATATATTCTTAAAAATTCTGGGTGTGGGTATGACAGGAGAAGAATATACCCACACTCACACCCTGAAGAAGGTGCTGAGATGCTGAGGGTTCCAAATCTGCACTTTCCCCCTTGATGATAATAACAATCACGAATAGAAAAACACCACTCGGATCGTAAAACTGAAGCTATTGAGAGGCTCACTTACTTGCACATGTCGAGTCAATTTTTCCACATGGTTATCTAGGCACATCATTAGAATGTAAAAATATAAGGGAACAAGAGCTTCAGTAAAGAGTATGTTTCGAATTAATGTTCGCTATATTATAAATCATTTCATTGGTTTTTTATCAATTTTATTACATGCTATTTGACAGCAAATATTTACTCTTCATTTTTGTGCTTATTTTCAAATTATTGAATGCTTTCTAACAAACAATTATAGCGGTAGGCATCCCATTTTCAAAGAGGATGTGACCAAAGACAAATCACATTTAAGCTCATCTGGCATAGTATAATTCATTTTTGTGTGCAAAATAAAAACATCTTTTTGGAAGTGGGAATGAATAAGGGATGTATGGATGTTGATTTCCTATAAATTTTAATCCACAAAGAAGCAATTGTGATATTTGTTTTGTCTAGGCCTGTACAGACATAATATCAAATCGCAGGATAACATGCTATTGAAGAAAAAATATAATGTGGCAGAAAAATTCCGTGCAACAATAGTGGATATTTGTCTTATCTAAATTCAAATATTAGCCAAATATCAAGAGAAGTTTTCAGAGTATAATTTACTTTTGAATAGACGTTTGAAATACAAGTAATTTCACTTCTACTGCAAAAAATTACTTTGTCCCAACAGTTTTCTAAAAAAAAGAATACAAAGTACTATGCACTGTACTAAGTACCGAGTATACTACTTAGTATCCAGCGTCTGATTCGATATCTAGGTCAGCTTGAAATTTACGTTTATATTCTTTCTAGGATCTTCTTAATCTAGTGGTCTTCTGATCTGTACACAACAAGAATAGGTCAAAAGCATCATAGCACCTAGAAAAGATTCCCTCCTGCAAGAAGAACGTGCCAATTTTTCTTTTACGTTATAGAAAAGCGTTAGACTTGTTCCACTCGAAAGATACGGTTCAAATTGACTGAGAAACTAGAACAAAGTCCTTGCCATGCATGTTATGGTCATTCATTGATCGTATGGTTTTTGAGCCATAGTCAATTCAAATGTGTTGATATCAAATAAGCGAAATAGGTGATGAGAGCGTCGGCAAATGCTATTCTTCTTATTTATTTATCATCTACATACCGCGGAAAACTTGATGCCAATCACTCAGTAGTCATAGCGCCTAGTTGCCGCAGTGTCAAATATGGTCGTTCAAATAGAGAAAACCTCCGTTTCTACTATCAGCAGTAGTTATGGGGACCTAGAGTTATAGTTGTGAGAATCTTCTGGCGTCTTGTTATTCTTGCCGTTTTAGTTGTACAGCGATCATTGTCTCCTTTTTAGTTTTCGAGCTGGTCGTCATTTGAAAAGAAGCTGTTAAATCAAATAGATTTCACTTGAATATGAAGCATAATGTTGTGATTTTATTGACCTTAGAACGCATCTCTTTGACAAATGATAATCAGAAACACGATCTAATATTTATTTCTTTCTTCACGCAGTTTCGCCATGCACTCAACTGGATCATGTGTTCCGGTGAACTTTTGGACGCTGGGTTGATTGGTTCGCATAAACGGATTGAACGTCAGTTCGTCGCCGATAGTCGACGGTATATTAACCAATGTGAGGCTAGCTTCCTTAGTTCTCACATCTGGATTATCTGGCTCGACAATAACAGCGAATACCATATTCTCCTTGGTATACTCATGGCCACAATAAACTAGCTAGAATATCAGAAGCATGGGTATTACGATCGAATTGTCCTCATGAGACACAGACCGTTTTCGGATCGAGTTGCGCCAATTTCTTAAGACTTGATTGCATTTGTGCGGCAGTACCTTCAAAAAATAGGCCGCATCCTGCACTAAATAGTGTGTCACCAGTGAAGACCGCTTGTTCGCGTCCGTCTGCGCAAAAATATACGAAAAAAAATAAGAGAAGATCAATTGTAAAGAAGATACTGTTCTCACCTGTTACTAGATAACAAACATGACCTGCTGTGTGGCATGGTGTCAAAAGGCATGTCACTTCTATATCTCCAATCTAGGGATAGTTGAAGTAAAACAAAAGAATTTTTAAGAAAGAACCATGCAACCTTAATCTTTTCATTATCTTTCACTCGATAATTGAGGCCTTGCAGTGATGGATCTGCACCTATAACTTTGATTTGACCATTTGCAGCACCCATTAACCGTAGTAATCTGTTGTTGCCTCCAGCATGGTCACCATGATGGTGTGTCGTTAGCACTGTGGTTAATTTCAAACCTTCTATTCTAATTACCTCGACCAACTATACGAAAGAACAACGATTATCTCATCAGATAGTGTAAGTCGCTATCACCTTATCGGGTTCGGCCGGATCGACCACAGCGCATTCCGATGTCTTTTCATCGCTTATCAGATACATGTAGTTGTCTTCGAAAGCTAGAAAATGGCGAATTCTCATTGTGGGATGGTATCGATGGTTAATTGATGGTGTCAATCTAAAGTCAAGCGAAACTAGTAAAAATCGGAACCATCAGACGCCAAGAACTGTGTTGTCCTGAAAATTAAGGGTGTGAGTATGAGTGTGGTTGTGAAGGGGTGCCGCCTGTAAATGACTGAACAGACGACAGACACATTTCTACCCACACTTTGATGTGGGATATTCTTTCATTTTTTTTCTCGATGCTAGTGGTTAAGTGTGGAAGAAATCTCTCAGAGGTGTCAGATTTCGAGCCAAATTCTTGAGATTTTGACCACGACTTTCAGTTGGATCTGATTCTGCCTGTAGCTAAGAGGTTCAATTATATTTTGATTTGGAATTCAGGATTCGGTTAAAATCTAGAATGACTCTAAAGTTTCGTTTCTGATAGAAATGAACCAAATCTGAACGCCAAACTCAAATCTAAACTAAATCCAAGTCAATTCATATCAATTTACACGGTTTAGGATTATTTTCTCTCTTCTGCAACTTCATCTTACAAATCCATGTCATACTTTGGCAATTAGACAACAAACCCAAATATTCTTGCGCCAAATCGAACGCTTCCGGTTTGGTGCGCCCCTACTATTTGTATTGTAACATCGTATTACCTCAGGTCATTAGAGGAAGAAGAGCACATTGGCACACATGCGCTTTATGTCTATGTGCAAACAAGAATAACATTTTCAATATCAAAACGGTTGTTGCCATACGCCCTGCGAATAAAGTCACGCTTAACAGCTGATTGTTGTAGCGATAAAAAACAACCATAGTTCATATGAATGCTAGCGGAAGAAAAAATTCTTTGTGTTGATGAGCTCTCATCTCTGAGAAAATGGGTGTGAGAGCACTCTAAAAAATCAAGACACCGTTTCAGTCGTCTGATTAAGACACTTCGAGAAGTTTCTGATTAGTCGCGAAACGCCTTGTTAAGACACCTCAAGTGTCAACACATAACCGATTTTAGATACTGACATGTCTTAAATTTTTATCATTGGAGCATTTCAACCAATGTTAGTTATTAAGCGTCTTATATCTGTCTTGTTTAGACGCTTCCACAAATCTTTAAGTCACTATTTCTAGAGTATACACAATTTTATATGAACACTGAGTATAGGAAAAACATTTTTCCGATAAAATAATTTTTTTGTAGATTTTACTCGCATTATTGTAGTAAATAGTTAGACAAAAATAATGAAAAATATCACGATATATATTTCTTTTAAGACAATTGAAATTCGAAAAAAATGGAGTTTGTGGAATAAAATTACCTAAAAGAATTTCTTAAATAATCTCTTTTCTTTTCGAATTTCATTTACCATAAAGAAATATATATCATGATATTTTCATTGTTGTTTTTTGTATTTATTGGTTATATATTGTAAGTAGCATCTACAAAAAAATTATTTTCTTGAAAATATTTTTTTCTTAAGTCCAGTGTTTATATAAGAACCGTATATATTTATATTCTAGAACTAGTGAACCATAGATTTGCAAGAAAGTCCACACAAGACGGATGCAATGCAAACCTATAATTGGAAAATGAAACGAAAGTTTACTAATTTTTAAAAGCAATTATAATTAGTAAATATAATTATATAGAGGTAGCGGTGACAATTTTTATATTATCTAGAAAATAAATAAGTAATTTAATATCGTATTAGAAATCAATAAAAAATTAATTTCATCCGTTTCAATGATACATATATATATATATATTTATGAAATCATTTCAGCCACAATATCGACCTAATAAATATAAGAGAAAACATTCCAATAAAGAAAAATAGATCTCAGTTTAATTTAATTGATACTATTAGAGTGTTCACTTTTTTTCTTTTTACAGTTTTCGATCAGCATTTTAAGTAAATTTTGACTACCCAGTCAGACAAATCTCTAAATAAAACGCGTTAAAACGAGTTAAGAGTGGGTTAAAACGTTGTTTTAACGATAGACAATCGTAGAAACGCCATTTTTTCGATTTTCTAACGCATATTAACGCATTGGAACATTTAAGCGTTAAAATATGTAGCCCTGTTTTTAGATTTATGCGTCTTTATCCGTTGGCAACCCGAATTACACGAGTTTTTACGGGTAGTTTTCTTAACACGTTTTATTACGCCCAGCATTTACTAATTATTTCTATTTTTTCTGTTGATGAAAGGTCAATCGCAACCGCTGAATTGGATTGACCAAGTTGTAATCGATGTGTTTTGTTTGAAGATATTGTTTTATTTAGACCATAAGTTAAAACTTCACCATCACCATCATCATCTAATATATTATATACACTATCAAATAAACCTACTTAAAGAAAAATAAAGCGATGTTTTTCTATATATTTTTCTAAAAATATTTTTCAAGTTTTGAGAACACTGAAACCAGCCAGGTTCACTTCCTGCATTATAGAAACTGTCTAAGTGCTTTCTTTTTTTGCTCATTGTTACTGCTGTATTATCAAAAAAAATCTTCATCGTTTGATTGTACAGATGCACTTGTTACATCATTCGTATTTATATGAACGTCAACATTTGTTGTTGAAGAATTTGAGACTTCAAGCTTCTTGCAGTCATTTGATCTATTGTCTTTTCTTTTAGTCATTGATAAGCATCGACAAGTATATATAACAAAACGATTGACAACTGATGGTAGAGATAGATAGATCTAAAATTTCATATATATATATGCTTATATTTATATTTATATAAATAAAAGAAAAAACTCTAGCATTAATACTAGAACACTTTACCTACAAATATCACATGGTCTTTAAATGAATGAATCACACGGAATAATTCAGATCGATTTAGACAAATGTTTGTTTGTTTTCTTAGTTGAATAGTTTTCTTTTCTATTGAAATTGAAATGATAAAGAATTCTTTGTTCTTATCATATCTGCCGGTTGTTGCTCTATAGAACAAAAAGATTTTCTTGTAATTATGTCAAGTCCGAGAATATTTAGCTTCTTTCTTTGTTTCAATAACATTATTATCTCTTAATGTAGTTGAATCTACACAATTTGACAATAGGCTGATAATTTTAATTAATCATACACAAATCAGTTTTTGGCGTGAATATTTTAAATTTTAGAACGCATTTAAAAATCACGTTTTTTTACTCATAAAAATGAAGAAAAATATAAAACTCTGATATGAAAAGATTGAAAAATGTTTTTATTGAGTTTGTATTTGCCTGACCTCTGTTGACAGTATATTTAGACTTTTGATGTAATGTATAATTTCTCAAGTTAGATCGGTCTCAACATTATGATGAACAGTAGCTGTTCATTTATATAAATTATTATTCTTTTCTTTTCTTTAGATAACTTCCAATGCACACTTAGAAGTAAGTATTTATTTAAATAAATTATAAATAAACCGTATCTTGTTCCTTTATTTAGTTAGAAAAATACTCTCTATCTTTGTTCATCTACTGAGTGATATATAGATCAGTCTCTCCTTGAAGAATTTATTTTCATAAAAAAAAGAATAGTTGACCTACTTTCAACAATTATATCAATACTATCAAGTTTGTACATTGGATCATCCTTCAGTATCTTTTGTTACAATGATGAGATAATGGAAAAGCTTTGTGAAATATTGTGAGTGCCTAATTCAAATCTTTAAGCGCAAAATTCAGTTCGCATTTTGCCTAAACAGCACTACCGATATCATTGCAAATCATACTCACACCCAGCTGATACAGATAAACCAATTTTTTAGAGCGAGTTGATTGAATATTCAAATGATCTCTACACTGAACCATATAGATATTCATAAATTGTTTGACAGATCGCATAAGAGAAATAGTCAGCAACTGATCAGAATGAATAAAAATGGATGTTGTCATGTTTTGCACGTCTCATGCATCAATACAAAAAAAGACTGAAACTAGGGTGAGTATACAAACAGAATGAAAAGTGAAAATCGGAGTACATTGCATACCGTTCATGTCTTGAAAAGGTATCATAAAATGTAAACTCGGTTAATGTTCATGAAAATCGATAAATTGTTCCATTTTTGTTGATCGTATTTTAGCCTGCAAGCAGAAAAGAATTGCTGTAAGATTTTAAAAAAATAGAAGCAACTGTTGGGGCAGCCTAATTCAAAAACATTTTATGGTTTTGAAGGTTTTTGAAAAATACAAAGTAATATGCAGCTGATCTTATCGACTATAAACAAGCCTACCGCTTGAAATTATCAAAATGATCACCTTCATCGGTTTAGCCGGATATTTTATATTTGATAGATGAGAGCACTCTAAAAACAAAATACTATATCACTCAATAACATATAGTTCGGCGTGACCACACGTTACGGAATTTAATTTATTGCTATTGACCGTTCGTTGATCTATTTTTTCTATTGTTTCATGACATGGATTGTCTGCACTTGCTAAAATATTCACTGGTCTCGGATTGCGAGTGTTTGAAAATATTGGAATTAGCAAAGGATCAAACTTTTTAAAAATACAGAATAAGGTATGAAAAATCAGAAAAAGTAGGATATTGAAAATTCGTCGTTTTAAATTTTTCCTGCATCAAATTTTTGTTAAGATTTCATTTTAATTCTTTCTTAAATTAAATTAAATGAGTCAGAGATAATCAGACACAATCAAAATGTTTATTTACACTCACATCATCCCACACTCAAATCCAGTTTTTAAATTTTCAAAAATCGCACTTTGAGTTGTTTAACCAAGAAATATTTTCAAAAAATATCAATGACAGATCATTAGTTGTAGAATTTCAGTCTCTATAAGATTGCCTATTTCGTTTTGACTTTCGTAGCTAAGGACAATGTAGACTCTTATACACTTTCTAACTCAATGTGGCGCTTATGAACTTCCACACAGATGTAGCAATTTCGTTTATGTGTATAACGATTATTTATAAAGAAAAGACTAACATCAATAAAAATCAAATAATTCTGATCATGTTAAGTACCTCAAAATTGGTGGCAAGAAAAAATCTGCACATCAGCGTTACTAAAAATGCCACCCTTTTCTTTGGGTGTGGGTGTGGGTGTGGTGGAGATTTTAACTTGCGTTAATTTACTTTCTTTTTTGTTACCATCTTTTTCTTTATTTCGCCTTCTTATTATTATAATCTTTCCACCAGAAATAATTCCCCTTCTTTAAACATTAACACTCGTTTAAATAGAATAGATACGAGAAGAAGAATGGAATGATTGTAAACGCGATAGAATGAAACAGAGAGAAGAAGAGATAACATACTTATGACAGGAGAGAGATCTCCTGATATAACATTTTTGATGCAATAAATAGTCATTGATTGCTTCTTGCTTCTGTATACATTTTCTGATCTATATGGCTAGTGTTGTTAATAAGTTACTTCAATTAAAATTCATATAGAGACAGAAGAACTGATTGGGTTTAATAGTTTAAGTCGAACAACTCTCTCCAGCAAACAGCTTGATAGATTGCTGTATCTTACATTGGCAACTTGGTTCTGTTTGCATATCAGATTTTGTAAAAGTCTCAGGGTGACCATTATTTGTAAGATACGATACGGAAACAGTAATTGAATAATTACTTTTCGAGAATATAATTAACAAAGGAAAGTGGTTTTTTAAACTTATTCAATCAATTATATGACGAATTTCGAAGATTTCAATGTATGCAAAGAACATTCATTCATTATTCTTTCTTGTATGCAACACAACAGCAACATTCGTGTCTATAGCTTGAATAAATATGCATCATTTAGGAAACAGCCGATGGTGAGCAGTGCATGTGATTATATTATCGTCCTTTTTTTGCATCAAACTGATACCCATGAAAATCAAATTTTATTAAACGGCCCACAAAATAAAAATACAAATAAATTCTGAATGAAATAAAATATATTTAGAAATGGATAAATTCATTAATGTAACTCCATAGAGCACGGTCCCATTGTAAAGCAGTAGTCGTGCAGACATACTGCTTTAGCACATGCAGGTCCTTTGTTATTTTTGCATTCTTGACACAGGTGGTCTACTTTGCAATCATGATCCGTAAGACATGTTCCGTTGATAGCCATAGAGCACGCATCGATTTCAGCACACTTCTTTTCGAGGCATATCGGCTTTGTACATGCTGGTCCTCTTCCTTCCCTACATCGCACACACAACACATTTGAAGGTGAACATTGAGAATCGTTTTCACAGGAACCAGAAACTACATCCAAGATCAAATTGCACGAAATTAGTAGAAGAATAACGAAAATTGAAGATGAAAAATGCATCGTTGTCGCTTTTTTGTGTGCAGATTGTTTCAATTTCACTGCCTTTTATAGTTATTTGTTGTGTAATTATACGATTTTGCATTTTTCTCGTTAATGTGCATGTAAAACTATTTTTGTACGACGTGACAGCTGGTGATTTTTTAATCGATACTTGTCACAATGCAAAATATAACAATGCGAGAGAGAGAAAAAGCATAAAATGAAAATGAATATGTCTTAATTTTTATTCCAAGGGCATTCGGTGAGAATAAAAAGATATATATCAATACTCATAATCATGTCCAAACGCTCACTGCTGACTAATTCAGGAGATAATAATCTTCGTTTATTTAATATTTTTCGCAAAATTATGTCACAATAAGAATGAACTTGTAATGCAGGCTGTGGGCGTAATAGAAAGAAAAATGCATTAATGCATCAGCTCAATACGAATTCAGTAAATGGTTCTTTTCTTAGGAAAATACGGCGAGTTATAGTCGCTTCAAAGAATACATATTCGACGTGGAATATCCACCTATGTTTTGGATCAACCATCTAGATGTAATTGTACTGAGCAATTTGATCAGTGTACCTGTGTTTATTGCTCTAGCGCAAATACAAAACTGGAGAGGACATTGAATTACAAGAGTTTATTTGGTATGTTAAAAAGTAGACTACAGTTAATGCAAATAAAAGATTCAATTAAAGTGGAACAGGGAAAAATTTAAGATCTTTTTACAAGTGTCACCATCGTCCATAGTAGTATAGTAGTGCTGGCTAGTTTAACCAATGTATCAAAGTAATCTTTTTGCTTGTCTGATTGATCAATTTGTAGACTATTTTGATTGAAATTATTTGCCGATTGTATATTTGATGCTGGAGCTTGTGTATTTCGATTATTAGCTTGTTGTTGTTGTTGTTGTTGCCATATCAACACCTGTGTTAGCTGTTGTTGTTGTTGTGCTTGTATCTGCTGAAATATTTGTTCGTTTTGATTAAGAAGAGCTTGTGTAACTACTGAGAGACTTTGCGTAGCAGCAGAAAGACTTTGTGTAATGACTGAAAGATTTTGCTGTTGTTCTTATTGAGCGCGAATAATGGCTTCTAATTTGAGATCTTGTTCTGTAAGATATTTCCGCATCCATTCGTAAAATTTCTCTAACTCTTGTTTAGTATTATCAGCAGTATTGTTATCATCATTGAAATGTTCGTTTCGAAATAGTTCTAAAATATCAGGAGAAATCTCTTGACAAAGTCGCTCCATCAGTTTACATAATTCATTCTTTGTGAGATGTCTCAATTGAAGATGATTCTTCTGGATTGAGTTTTTATAATCGGAAATTATTTTATTAATACGATCACCCATATCGAGCGTGTTATCATTTGTCCTAGAACTGCCCATTATTGTATTGAGCGAATTGATATTTGTTTCAGTTGAAGACGCCGGAGCTATATTTAGAAAAAAAATTCAAATATGATTCTTCAAAAGAACAAGCAGCTGTTACTATTCGTTGTTTGATTTTCTATTTCATTCATGCTTTCAATTTCTACCAATATATCACGTAATGACGTATCAAAATTTTTTTCCGGAAAAAACTATATATTTTCTATCCACGTTTCAATCATTGCCAAGTCACTACTTGGTTTGAAATCTTTTCCCATATGACAAGGAATATAAGGGATTTTGTTTTGCACAGCATACTTAGCTTCTAAATAGATTCACTCATTAGTTAGAACGAATAAAATAGTCGTGATTTTGATTTACCCATCATGCAATAATGGCTGTCTTGGTATTGGTGATTTGTGGGCAGAAGAACAATAGAAGAATTTTCAACTGCCTTTGCCATACTACCTATTATGCTACCATGTAAACATCGGATGTCTTGCCATACCCTGTATCCTTTGTCCTGTTCGATAAAACATTGGATTGCATATTTATAAATTAGTTATCTGTTACCTGAAGAGTCTTATCAATTTTCTCACTGATCTTGTCGCATGTGCCATGACTATAACTTATCATAATGTGTCGATTTTTTTGAAGTTTTTGTTGACTATTGGCCGTAGTTACAGAACTCAGTTGGGTCTGTGCTGGATCTTCAACGTACAAACCAGGATTATATAATCACTTATATGCAATATGTAAGATTTCTCTTTCGTACCTGGTAGGGATGGCAATGGTTCAGCAGACGATTGATATTGATCACTGTTGGTAATAGTTTCTTCCTCTACGATGCTGGTTTCATCAGCATCAGTTCGTAAATGCCCATTTGTACTTATAATTAGTCGATTATCATCTTTAATGATCTCCGAAATTACGTCTATTGTCTGACTAAATTTTCCGACAACCAAATCTATAGAACTCGATGATTGAGATAATTATTGTAGAGTACAATAATATAATCTATCGTAACACTACCTGTTACAGACGTTGGGTATTCGTTCGTGCATGGTTGACCAACCGCATCAGTGCTTTCCGATCGTGATAGATATTGGTCAATATTCTCATCATTTAAGTCTACAAAACAAAATTTAGTATCGTGATTAATACGAAATATGACTCACTGGAATCCATGGATGTATGATTTGTCATAGTTGGTGGAAGAATACGTTCAATAAAATTCTGGAACGATTTTCTTTCAGTGTATGATGAGGGCTTACCTGACTTCTGCTGTCAACAATTGTAAAAGTTTTATTTGGTTTCTATTTCATTGTTAAGCTTTTTTTTATCTGTTTATTTCTTACCAACATAGATATGAATAATGCAGAACGAGAAAAGAAAAATAAATGAAGTATTTACACACAATTTTTAAGCCACATTCCATCAACTTCTTTTTTTATATTCCTTTTTCAAGTGGTGGCTTACATTCAAACATTTTATTTATCGTAGGTTCTGACATGGCAAATGGGAATGAAGCAGGCGACCAAAATTGTAAATATTTTTAATATAAACAGGATTTTTCCCGCATTTCTTCAGTTTCTCAAATATTTTCGTTTGAATTCGCCGAGCTAAAACGAAATGAAGTAAAATAGTCGCCATTGGTCGAATAAATGCGATCACCGAAAATAATCCGGATCATATACAATCGATTCTATGTTCAATATTTCACTTTCCAACCATCTCAGTTGTTAACAGCATCAGTTCTGAATGTAGTTGCTAGCATAAATAGAAAAAACATTGACGCACACGATTCGTAACTATTGATGAATTAGATTTTCGCCGACAAACTGGAGAAAGAAATCAAAACTGAAGTTAATCGAGTCCTGTAACAATTATAGATCAATACTCAATATTCGCGTGTCAAAAGAATTAATCTGATAAATTTACATGTAGGAATTGAACTTTTTTTAGATTTCTCGTCCGTTAAAATCTTCTTCACTAACATATACTTTTAGTAAGAAACTCATACAGATGGTAACAAAAGAAAACTATTATTGAATATATTATAATTGAATTAGGATCTAACTTATTTGGTAATCTTGATGGTGCGACAGCGATTCGAATTTGAAATTTTATTATCAGTAAATTTGAAATAAACAAAGTCAAGTTGAATTACTTCATTTGATCTATTACGGAGAATTTCAAGACTTCTGAAAATTCTCTTACTGATGCTTTTACAATAGATTTTAAATTTTTCATGTAAATATTTTATGCAAAAATTGGAAGAAAAACATTTTTTTTCTATTCCACTTTAAGATCAGTTCTTTGCCTATTCAGTTTTTACATTTCTCATCAGTTTTTTTTATCTGACATAGTATTCTTAGTTGAAAGAATCTATTGGATTTGATATGACTCTTGTTTTCTTCGTGTATGCTTTTGAAAATCTCAAATTCGTTTCATGTACAGTCAACAATTACTGTTTTGAATTGAGACGTTCTCTCATATCCTATATAGTGTAATCAGAATCTAAAATAGTCATATTTTGACGTTTACTTAAACTGAGAGTGGTTTTATGCACTCTAAAAAATATCCGTTCTCTGTGAAACTGAAACGAGCTCAGAAACCCTTGCGGAAACCTTTTTTGGTTTTCGAGAGGTTTTCTAAAATACTTTTTTACTATTGTCGAAAACACAATTCGTATTTTCGAAAACCGTTACGGTATTTTAGGAAACCAATAGTTCCATAAAAGTCAACTGGGTATTCGAAAAGGTACCCAAGGATATCTTTTCGGTTTCTGAATTATTTTATCGCAAACCTAAAAGGTTTCCGAGTTTTCGGAAATTCAAAAAGGTATAGTAGGAAACAGAGATGGGATCGGTTGACCGTTTAACCAAACCGAAATCGGTTCGGTTGGAGACTTTTCAAAAACTCGGTCGGTTACGGTTGGTTAGGCTGAAATTTTTTAAAAATGCGATCGGTTACGGTCGGTTAGGTTGATTAGAATCTGCACGTGCATTGGAAATCGAGTTATATACTAAGCAAGGATCGGATAAATCAACAAATTCAGACGAATCTCTTCATGAAGAATATAATCCTTTATCTTTCTGGAAAAAAATGCATGGTACTTATCCTCTTCTTTCGAAAGTCGCTGCTCGTATTTTTTCTGTACCAGCTTGAAGTGCGGCTGCTGAAAGAGAATTTAGTCTTGCTGGCAATTTAATTACACAAAAACGTGCAAAATTATCACCTGATGTCGTCAACGATATGGTATTTAATCATTCATTCAAGATGCATCAACAAGGACTTGATAATACAGATTCAGATACGCTTGAATTACGTTAATGTGCTGTTATTTTTATTTTTTTCAAAGGATTGTGCAAATATAATTTTTTTACTTAATGAAAATAAAATATTAAGATATGCGTATAATAGAATCTTGGCTTATGAAGTACCACTACCTTAATTAACAAAACCTAAACATCGTTTTTCTTTCATTCATTTCACTTTTGTTGGATTGACGATTTTTCGAAATTCGGTCGGTTACGATCGGTTAGGTTAGAGACTTTTGCGGTTACAGTCGGTTCGGTTGACGAAAAAGGCTAACCGATCCCATCTGTGGTAGGAAACCAAAATCAGTTTTCAAATTTTCCTGAACTTACCGATACATTGCAGAATTCAGAAAGCTTCAGAACGAGTTTTTAAATATCATTTTAGAGTTCATAAACTGTTTCAAGGCATAAAATTGCTGTTAAAAGCTGATTTTAGGATTATTTCTTTCTTTTTAATTGCAGGAAATTTCAGAGGGCTGAATGCATTCATAGCTTTGGCCCATAATATTTGATTATACATGTGCAATCTATAGCATTCAAATACTGTTTCGGATCTGAAAGTTTTTCTCCGTCTTAAATTAATCTAACATTATAAACAAATCCTTAATTTAATCTAAAATACAGATGTAAGAGAAATAATCTAATCTTTATATTTTACTAACAAGTGCTTAATAGATTAACTTAATAATATTATTTTCTTGGGGTTTTCATTTGAATTTAATAAAATACAGGCAAGAATTAATTATTTTGTTTTACAAAAATCAATCAAAATAATAGTATAGAACATTTTTCTGCTATTGAAAAATCGTTTTAATCAATCTTTTACAAAAACTATTAAATTACACTACATAAAATCTTACACGCAAAAAGTCAATTAGAGCGAAATGCGTGCCAAGAATATTGTCGCTAGTATTCATCGGAATAATATTTCTGTTACTTTTTTTTCTGTATTTGCATAAAGAATGATGAATCATCGTTCTACATCAACTTTTATCCATATTTTCCTAACTATAATTATACAACCTAACAAAAGTGAATATTTAAGCCTCCAGTGTACAGATTGATAATGGTAAGTTTAAATGCAAGTATTATTCTCTTCAAATGAAGTTAAGTGTGTCGTCTTCACACCATGATTGGTTAAAAGCTATATAAATTGTAGACAATCGAGTATTTCACGTTATTCAAGAAAGACCTATTTTACGAAATACAAATAAAGCCTTGCCTATTAGAGATCGTTGATTCTCACTCTTCTGTTTTTCATAATTCGCCTACATAATGACTATATCTAAAATTGCAGAAGATACTTCAGTTTCTAGAAAAAGAAGTCAAAAATACTCACTAATCGTATCAGCACCAAATGCGAGGTAGATCAACAATAGCTTTGCATCTTACACTTGTTGCATTTGATGTTCAGAAAAGATTCACGTCAATCGTGCAATATTAAAAATAGTTTTTGAATTCTACTTAACAAAAATATTCATATTTAAATATTCTCACATGTTGCAATGGTAAGTTTAAGAGTTAAGGCATGTGTAATAAACGAAGCCGATACAAAATATTCAAAATGCGTTGTTATTATTATAGATGAATTTTACTGATCCATTCACGTGGAAGATAAATGATGTTTCAGTTTGGTTACTTACTTTCATTTCAAATGATAATATAATCACAGAATTTCAAAGTGAGTCCAATAAGTTATAGAGTTAATATTTTGTTTGATCGTATTTTTTATATCTTAACATCAGTTAATTCTTTGATTATTTTCGCCATATTACCTTGTATCACGCGACTGAACCAAACTTTAAATTAGCATGTGTTATATCAAACTCCTGTGGTGTCACATACAAAAACTTTACTTCGTACAAAATGCATATTCATCGATATTATAAACTTTTACTTCGTCCATCATTACAACAACAAGATTATAATATTAGTACATTGCCAATCCAGCAACCTGATACAGCAGCGACAAATGATGTTATGTATGGAAATAATGATGATGATGATAATGCCACAAAGTCAAATATGAATCCTGACGATCTTGTGAATCAATGGAAAATTCCCATTCGGAACAATTTTGCTTTAGATGACAAAGTGAATCTTTATTCAGTTCAGCAACAGTATACTAGATTTTTACTCGAAATGAGAGAACAACATATTTTACCTCAAACGGTAATTCAACCAATTACGACTCATATTGTGAATTTATTAGATGATATGATGGATTTTGTCGAGGAAAAAGCAATACAAGAGAATATAGTATTATACAACAGTCTGTAACAACCATAACCACGACAACTATATCAATTGTTAGACTGCGAGATATAGCAAAGCAAATCGAAGAATCAATCGTGCTTTTAACTCGAAATGAATATCAATTTATTTATTGAGTCATGTAAAAACTTTTTTCATTACTCGTCACCACTTGAAAATATTCTTTCATCAAATCAGTCAGAAACAGAATATTCATATTATATATCGATCAAGAATTTGTTTAAAAAAATTAGAAAAAGATGAAATGATATCTCGCTTGTTAGAAAATATTCAAAATAATGCTGCAGTAATGCATAAAGACCCGGATTTAATGTTTTCGTTTCAAGATGGGATTAAAGGAGGAATGATTAATTAAAAAACGTTTTTGATTCAATTGTATGTCGATGGAATTGGTGTAACGAATCCTCTTGGACCAAAAAGAGATCAACATAAGTTGACACTTGTGTATTTTACTTTGGAAGATATACCAGATATATTCCGATCTATATTACAATGTATTCATCTGGTAGCCATTTGTAATACAAAGTATTTAAATGATGATATGAAAATGAAAAATATTTATAATCCTATAATTAGCGACTTAAATGATTTACAATCATCTGGTTTGATTATCAACACTTTTAATAGTCAAATTTATTTCACATTTACAACAATGGCTGCTAATAATTTAGCTGCACATGAAGTTGATGGATTCCAGCAGAGTTTTAGTTTCGGATATATTTGTAGACGATGTTTGATAACGTATGAAAATCGCCTCATACCATTAACTGATGTATATTTCGTTCGAAGAGTAGCTATGCAGCACCAATGTGTTTTACAATCACTTGAAAATAATCCGCAGATAAAATCAATTTGTGGTATAGTTGGACCAAGTCCATTAAATGATCTACGAAATTTTAATTCTTCTTCTTCACTACCAGGGGATGTTATGCATGATTTATTTGAGGGTAACTATTAGGAAAAAATGATTTTGCTTATATATTATCGTTCTTTTTTTACTTTCAGGCGTATGTCCACTCATTATCATGGCTATGTTAAAAGAGGCATCAAGTTCACGGTTAAATACTTTTTCTGCCATTCAAACGAGGACGGAAAATTTTATTTATGGTGCACTGGATACATCAAACAAGTCTCCTCCAATACAGATTAAACATTTAAATAACGATTGTATTACAAGAATTGCATCTCAAAAGTTCTGCCTATTTCGTTTATTTATCATGCTCTCAGATATAGTTGATCATCTACAATTGTTTAAAATTTACCTTATTTCACGTGAATTACTGGATATGGTATTAGCTTTACCTCAAAGGAAAAACTGGATACCATTTATGGAAACGTTGGCGATAAATTTTCATTGTATGATGCTAGAGATGCTACCCGATAAAGTAACACCAAAGGTACACTATGCTACTGAGTACACGAGGATAATAGAGGGTGTGGGTGTGGGTCTAAGTGAGGTTCATTGTTATCAATACACACTCACACTCGCACAACACCACATTCACACCCACTCACCCCACGCCGCACCCACACCAACACCCACACCCACACCCTTTGGCATACTCTTTCTCGCTCTAAAGGTAAGTATTATTCCATTCATAGGATTCATTAAACGTCGCTGTGTTACGACACACAATCAAGCTACAACTTCCAATGCACCGAAAGAGATGTATAAACGGCTTAATGAACTTGAAGATCGATTAAAACAGATCGAGCGAACAATGGAGAAATGCTCAGCATCTATCCACATGCACCTACACTTTAATAGATCCAACTAGACTTATTGTTATTGACTACATATGCAATTTGGCGATATGCGTTGATGCCGTCGTGTCTGATGCTTCTTGCTTTTTTGTTTCCGCGACTGAAGGGAGGGTCATACGAAATAAAATGCGTTAGCTCATCGGTTTGCTTGCTTGATTGTTTATGATCAAAAAAAACATTTTCTGAATTGAACCCCAGAACAAAAAGACTAACCAACACGGACTGCAATTCATTCGCTACCCACATCCCACACCGCGATTAACCATATTACTGTTGCCCCCCCCCAGCGAGCATTTCAACCAATCAGACTTCGAGGATATGAAAACACGTAATTTGAACCTTAAAATGACCAAGACTTCGTCAGTGTGTAGTAGCAGGGGTACCACGCATCATCGGAGTGATGCTCTCAACGTGACGGAACTCATTAATCAAATTTTGGAAACCCGAAAACAAGCTCATTCCCGTTAAAATGGCGAACGTTGCTAAGTATGAGATGGTGAGAGTATGAAACTTGAATAATCCACTCTCGATAACACAAAGGCGTAAGCCAACTTAATTACCAGGGTGAACAGTGAGTCTAAATGCCTGGTTTTTGCGGCGAACGTGTGCTGGCCGGGGGTGAGCGCTCCTAAGGTATTCTGTTCTAACAGTTTTCTATGTGGCTATTACACCATGATACCACAGAAGGTTCACTTCGGTTATCTAAATGGAATATATATGCGTTCCTCAAACCTACGGTTTTTTAGCAGTCTTCGTATCCACCTGACTCAACGATTAAAAGACAAGATGATAATGAACTCAACATGTCGCTGTGAAACTTCAAGCATATCCCAGTTGGAGACTGAAAGAGTGTGGGTGTGGTATGGGTATGGTTTATTGCTATCAATAAACAGCCACGCCCACACCCATGTTACAAAAAATATTATCTAAAAAAGAAAGTTCGAGGATTCAGATACATGACAAACTGGCTCTTGTAGCGCATCTCTTGCTCAATCGAACTAATGTTCGTATATATGCTTTAGAACTGACAACCGTGGATGATCCACATATATTAGAATGTGCTGTCATTATTACGGACAAAAACTTGAATGAATTGGAGCGTGGTCATTGGATCGTTCACTATGAAAAGGCTAATCTAGAAATAATATCTGATTTCCACCAGAAAACATTCAAAAGCGTCAACGAACGTATGAAATGTTTCAAATACGAACTTTATCAGGGCTCATTTATTCAAACACTAATATGTTTTCTTGATTTTGCCTAAATGCGTGTGATTACTATATTTGTGTTATTTAGGTGGAAATGGTCTATTTGATGATGTTTTCGCGTCAAAAACAACAAAGGAAGAAATGGAAAGCCAACTATTGGATTTGATTAAAAGACATTGTCCTGAAAAACGTTGCCCATTGACTAGTAGTTCCATACACTGGGATCGAGAGGTTGCTCGACTTCGGATGCCGTCAGTTTCAACCATCTGCACTATCGTGTCATCGATGTCAGCTGCTTCCATAAAATGGTGCAACGATGGTCAACATCAGAAAAGTGGATAGAGAAAGAAAAAGATGTGGAAAACGCCATGGAATAAAAGCATCGACACCGTTCAGTGAAAATACATCGACCAACGTATGACATCGAAAGATCATTGGAACTTTTAAAGTTATTTAAACCATGCTTCACTGCATTCTGATAACAAGATGCAGTTCAATTTTCTGACTAATACATTTATAGTGTGCTTTTTATCGGATGAATAACACTGCCTTTGTAAAGGAGAATTTAGTAGAAGACAAGCTATTTCAGCTTTGGTGTAACCAGTTCGATTATTTCTGGCTCGAATCCTTTCTATCAATATATTGTGCATTGATCTTTATAACTGTTCCGTGTAGATGATGAATCAAAATTAGCATTCAACAATTTTATCTGAGTAACATTGTAGAATTTAGTTGCTTTTCAGAGTCTGAGAAGGTATTTTAACATACTTGTTTACCTGGTTGCTTTCTTTGTGATGTATCTTACTTAAAAGTGGAGATCAAACATTTCATTCAAGAGTTTGGTGTGAGTCTGGGTGCAACGACCGATGTGGGTGGATCTGAGATGTCAAAATCAATTAACGAAAATCTCACACCCACGCCTTCGTTGCTTCATGAACTGAATTTGTCTTCCCGTGATATTAAAGACAATTGATTTCAATATGAGTACTCATGAGTGAGGAAAAGGTTCTCCTATTCACACTTTCTAATATTTGTCGAAACAGCGGTTCTCTAGTTTGAAGAAACATTTCTTTGTAACTGTTGATGATACTCTGTGATTAATAGATTAGCTAACTCAACCAAGTTCAGAAGAAAAATAAAATATCAATCGATTGAAAATCTTTGCTCTTTTATCAAAATCTTGTTTTATTTTTGACTAAAAGTTTGATAGATTCTATTCATACATATCATTGGAGAAGAGGATTGAAAGAGAAGAATATCAATGTGTATGCATCAATGGAATTCAATAGTAACTCCAACATGTTTGGGTATGACAGTCAATGTCTGAGAAAGTCCACCAGCATTAACTTCAGGACCACCATCAACAAATGTCACTTGTTGTAGCATACGAGCTAGAATTACTTTTAGTTCAAATCGAGCCAAATCTTGTCCACGACATTAACGATGACCACCTCCAAATGGTAGTAATGCACATGGATGATGATTTTTATCTTCATTAAGAAATCTTTCTGGATAAAACTGTTCAGGATCGATATTCCAAAGACGAGTATCTCGACCGAGAGCCGACGTCGGAATAAGTACTTGATCACCTTTGTAAAGTCGAATACCACTTTTGGGTACGCAGTCATCAACAACTACTGAACGACTTGTTCCATCAATCGTTGGGGAATAACGAAGTACTTCGTTGATAAAACAATCCAAATAAATGAGTGAATCGACACGATCCACTGTTAAATATTGACTACTACTATCGTGCATCAGCTCTGTTTGAGTTTCTGTTGAACTCGTGGATTTTTACTCAGCTGATAAATAGACCAAGCAAGAGCAGTCGATGTTGTTTCATAACCAGCAATCAAAAACATAAGCATCTCATCAAAAAGTTCTTTTCGTGATAGGCCTGTCAATAAAAACAAATCTTACAAGTAAAAAATTAAAACTTCATAATGAACGATAGTCATAGTTTAATTTGAAATTATATTCTATAAAGCTGATTGCTAAATTAGACAAGCATGTGCTATGTATGCATACTAGTATATAGAAGGCGAGCTCATGTATTGGAAACACATCGATATTTTTATATTAACTTCAGCAGTGTTCAGACTTCCAAAAAAGGAAATTTTGGAAGTTTTGGAAATTTCAAGTACTTGTGTTCTAAATTGTTTGGTACTTCCCAAAATTATACAATTTCCGAAATTTCTGAAATTTCCAAAATTCTGTACAAAGCGAAATTTCCGAAATTACAGAAGATTCCGAAATTTCTAAACTTTCAAATATTTTCAAAAAATTTTCATTTGCTTTGCTATGTAGTAATCGAGTTGATGGAAGCTTCGGAAATTTCTGTAATTTCCTTTTTCGGAAATCTGAACATACCTCATTAACTTTGAAAAGTCCTCGAATCATGAAAATTACAGAACATCAATATAGACTTCAATTATCCGTTGACTAAACTGGAAATAGTTCACTTGCAGTATCGCAAACAAAAATCTCAATTCATTTTATTTCCTAAATATTCAAACGATCTTTTCATCTAAAACTTAATTTTCTGATAACTTCTTTAGAAGGAGAAAAACATCTCATGCTACACAAACCGATCCAGAAAAATCGGTTAACCGCGCTTATGCAAGCTATTTTAGTGACTTTACGGTGTAAAAACCGACGATTAACCGGTGGTTTCCGATCGGTTTGTGCGATATGGGATGTTGTTCATTTTTCAAATGATTATCATCAGTTCTCATGATGTTCATTGTTAACAGTGCGGGATAGGGCTTGTCTAAACCACTACATCCATTATAAGTTTTTGCGACTCAACTGATCTCTGATTCGTTATTGAAGCCAACGAAAGAGTTCTCATTAGAATAAGACATACTATTCTCTGAAGTCGCTGATTGGATTGAATTTTTATTATGAACTGTTGTGCAGATGAAGTATCCCAGAGCGCAAAATAAACATTTGTTCAACAGCAAGCACTGCCAAAAATCCAATAAACAAGAAACATTTTCAAATTAAAAAAATTTCTAGCTCTCAAAGCTTTCAAGACTTTATGACGAGTGATAGAAAATGATAACTTATTTAAATAAGTGTTTCATAGATAAACTTTACCTGTTTTGTCTGCTTCCTTTTTTCTTGCTTCGGCTGGCTCATCTGCTTATAATGAATTAACAAGTGGTGCTATTAATGAAGTTTTTTTTCCGTTGCAATCTTGAATCAGGAGTTTCAGCTAATTCTTGTTCAACCATTCTATGAAGATATCGCTCGACGGTTGCAGATGCTCGTCTATATTTAGGACTCAATTTCAGATAAATAGTTGATACGATGCTAGGCGCATATATAATCATTCTAAATATACTCATGATATCTCGCAAAGCTTTTGTCAATTCATTATTATTTCCAGAATCATTGCCATCAAGCGTCTCCAAATCGTAGTCAAAAGCAATTAACCCAAATATTTCAAGTAGAAGATTTTGACACTGCTCGACAACATCCGTATGTACCTGCCCAGTTGGTCTAGCGTGCCATCTATCTAAAAATTTGTCAATACCATCGATCACGATGTTAATATTTGAAATAATCTTGCTGCGGCGAAATAATGGCATAGCAAATGCACCATGCCGTTTGAATTTGGCACCTATAAATCATAAACAACAAATCTTTTTTGAGACTACAGCAAAATAATGGAACATACCTATGTTACAAATGATACTATTGGGTAGTAAAATGCTGAACTTTTCTAAAAATATTTGCCCTTGGTCATATATATTTCGATGACTCAAAATGTATTGAACATCGTCAATATTATGTACGACAACAAAATGGATAAAACCAAGCCAATATTGATAAATATCACCGAACTGTCCATTCAGTAAAATGTAAACTTCTGAAGATACTCTTCGACCAGATAATAAACTTGTTTGAATTATATTTCCAAAAAATAAATGCGGTGATAAGCCAGGGATTGGGCCACGAAGTGTGAAATATTTAAATTTTATGTATACGAACAATAAACCGGCAAAGAAAAGAAATAAGTACAACATCATTTTACTATCGCATTGCGAATATGAAACCGTTCGTATCCTTTTATAATAGTAAATGTATGACATGCACTCACATGTAATGTTACTTTTCTGTCGCTACTTTCATTTTCTTTTGTCGTACTCACATGATGCTTAAAATTGATACTAGCATGTGCACGACGATTGATTTGTATATTACATTTCTAGACAAGACAAGTCATGGTGTATTGGGTTTCACGAGTATCCCGTTATTTGGCGAAGTACTAAACATACATGTATATTGCTCGTGCCTAGTACCTGTATATGAATGATAGGAAATGCATTGTTGTAAGAGTATAGTCGAATTGACACACATCTGAGATCATTTATTGCTTTGAAAGCTTTAACAACACTAGTCTCCAGTATTTGAAAAAAATAGATATGATTTATTGCTAATACATAGTTGAATTCTAGTATTTCAGAGAATCATTATAACTTCGTTATTAGAGGAGTCTAAGAATCCACTGTTGCTTTAAATGGAGTTAGCAATAGCAACTAAGTCTTTATGAAATAGGATTTCGAAATGCATTCCTGTTTAATATTTATAGTCATTTTACTGCGGGGATCCCGTGGAAAAAACCAAAAACATTTTCGCTTCGTAACATTACATTTAGCTTTTTTCAACTTAGGAGTGAATCGTAGAGAATCTTTTTGGTGAAAATTTACCTCTTATTTACAGTTTTATAGCAAAAAAATCAAATTGTGCCAAACTGGTAGAGAGCAATTTCAATTTTCGTGATCAAAACTCGTATTTGAGCCAGCTGCGAAATAAGCAAATGATGAATATAAAAATCAAACCGTAGTATGAAAACATTCCTTCGAAAGGCTGCAAAAAGCTATCTGTTCTTGAATATAACGACTTTCATGAGTGCTTCAGGGGGGCAAAACCTTCAATTGAGTGGATGCAATTGAAAACCACTAAAATACATTTTCCATCGAATGCGGTTTCACGATCAGCGACCACTAAACGTAATTTATCCTTGAGTTTAGTTTAACACTCGAATTTGATGCTATTTTTGAGCAATTTTGAAACCACTTATATCTAGATAGTCGAAGTATATTTGTGCATGCCCATTGCTTCTGACCTTTCTCTCCATCAGTAGAGCAGCAGCTGCTGGTCTGTCTAACCCCCATACAACTGAGTACTCATATTTCACAATTTTCAGTCCACTGCAGTTTGTTAAACTCAGAAAAACAATCGATTCTTCAGGCACGAACTCTTCACTAGAAGTTGGAAATTACGTATTCATTAAATCTATTTCTAACAAAGAATGCACTGTGACTATCTCTGAGAGCCTGCATTGAAATAAAACTCGCCACTATTAACATCAAGTATGATCAAACAGAAAACCAACTCCCATTTCAATACTGAACACTTCCCAGATGAAATAGATTTAAAATATTCCCATTAGAAACTAGTCGATCATCAACGTATCTGAAAATGATATTAAGCGTACGCTTCATCCTAGAAAAAAATTCAGTTATTCCTGTATCACTCTTCACAATCTCGAACACACTGTTTTTCTAGGAAAATCAAAGACAAAACTATCATAGTTAAAAATAAAGTACGACTTCTGAAACTTCGATTATCTATGGTCGAACTAAATGCAGTTCAAATATCTTCCAAAACATACCCAATCCTAGAAAATTCGTTCCGAAATTTTTAAAACCTGACTTCAGATTCGGGTTCCCCGACCCCGATTTACTTTCGTCAAGCTTTATAGCCCAGGTCGAAAAATCTGACATAAGATCTTATGAAATACATGCAAGATCTTTGAATATGGGCGAAATCTTACAAGAATCTGACAAAAAAACGTAGTCTCTGAGATCTTATATCAAGTCGCACAGTCAGATTCTTGAAAGATCTTATTAATGTGTAAGATCTCTCAAGAATCTGACTGTGCGACTTGATATAAGATCTCAGAGACTACGATTTTTTGTATGATTTTCGTATGATCTTGTAAGATCATACAAGATCAGATTCATATTCTTATCAGATCTTAGTATCTGATTGTTTGTCCTGGGATATGATATTCGGTACATTCATTGTCTGCCCCTTGTCGGAATCCGATAGGACCCTACTATCGGAATGATTCTCCTGGGTAAAAAAGTTTAATCTTTGATTATTTACCTCCAGAAAAAATAAGTTAACTTCCATAAAATGTGCGTAATTACATCAGTCAGATATGTTGCACATTTGTGTGTTCACTATTTGCGAAAATTCTTCTCGAATTTCATTACGAATCTTTACTTTTCGCCAAGAATTTTTAGGTAGTGTCTCAGGCGACTTTGGTTTGTCATATGTGCTGCTTTTCTAATACAAATTTCTATCGATCATTATATCAATAGCAATTAAGTATTATATCCTATTTTTTACGAATGTGCCTACACGTTTGAATGATTGTAGATTGCATTACAGCTTTCTCATACTAGATTTATCTCTCATGGATAAAAAATCTAACAAAAATATTGATAGTAAATCGTAAAATCTAAACGCATTCAAACTATTTTTTCTTTTTCACAGATTTAAAACTTCATCAAATACAACCCATTCAAAACAAACTGATAGTGATCATAATGATGATGGTGAAGTAATAAATGTTGATGATAATGAAGAAGTACACGAAGATGTCAGTGACGATGATTACGATAGTGATATTTCTGAAGAACATGATTTTTCACATGATGATAGTACTTCCTATATATTATCGGTGACCACACACATCGTCGCACCATCACTTCGTCGCACGACAATTCGTCGCAATATAAATTCCTTGTGGTAAGTTAGTCGTATATAAAGGAGAGAGTACATTAATTGAATTAAGCGATTTTGTTCAATATGCTATTCAATGAGTCACCTTCATAAATGTATTTCATTACAATAATAACACTCTCTTTTATTACTACAATTTCTTTTTTTCAAAAAAATGACACAAATGTTAATTTACAATTCACTTTTTTAAATTAAAATTACCCAAAACTTAAAGTAAAATTTTGACTAAAGTTCTACGAAGTTAACTTTATAATAAATTAATTTTTTTTCAAATTAAAATGTAATTAAAATATAGCTTTACACGTAAAAATTTCTTTCTCGTCTTGATAATTCTTTTTAAATTAAAATGTAATTAAAATATAGCTTTACACGTAAAAATTTCTTTCTCGTCTTGATAATTCTTTTTAAATTAAAATGTGTTACCTCTCAAAAATGATATCAATAAAAGACTACTGACTTATAGAATTTATTCGGATACTTCATATTTAATGTTTGTAATATCGAAAAGCTAAAAATCCATTTCAAAAGTTTCCAAAACCACTTCATTCAATAGCCGAGTAACTTTGCAAATCACAGAAAATTATCCTAGAAATTACTAAACGAATTATACAGCTCAAGATAGAGCACATTTTTCTTTCGTTTCTTCTTGGCTTCTCTTAGCTCCAGATTTCATCAGAAATCGTCTCCTTAAAAGACTTGAGTTGACTTTCATTTGATAGCAGATTATTTGCAATGTCACAGAAGAATTTTACAGAACTAAATAATTTTTTCAGTACTGTTTTACAGAACTAGATCATTTTTTCTTCAAAACGAATCTATTACCCAGGTCGAACATACACGGTCGTATACGACGGTAAATCGCCGTATTTGGACGTTATNGAGATTTACGATCGTAATACGGAGCCATGTAATACGGCCAAATACGGCGATTTACCGTCGTATACGGCAGAAAACGGCCGTATACGGCCCGTATTTCACCGTATACGGACGTCGTAAAGCTCGTCCTGGGTATATCCATCATATCAATCTAGTTACTATTCCATAGAGTGTACATTTACGTGATTAATTGAATAACATATTGAGCAAAATCAATTAATTCAATTAATGTACTCTCTCCTTTATATACGACTAACTTATCGCAAGGAATTTTTATTGCGCGAATTGTCTTGCGACGAACTGTCTTGCGATGAACTATCGTACGACGACGTGATCGTACGACGAAGTGATTGTACGATGAAATGATTGCGACGAAGTGAACGCGACGAAGTGTCGTGCGACGATATATACGAGTGCCATATTATCTGATGAAAATGCATTGGATAGTAGTGATGATAATGAAGTTGAAGACGACGATGAATATTTATTCCCACTAAATGGTAGCAAGGAACGTCGAAATACTGAAGAAACAATTATTGGTATTACTGCTAATCCTAGTGATTTATCATCAATCGTTCACAATTTATGACAACGTGTTAGAAGATTAATTAAATTTATTCGAAAATCAAGTGTACTTGATCGTAATATTCGAAATCAAATACAATTAGAAAATATAGAAATCATTCGATCTGCACATGAACAAAGCGTTAAATCAGTTAAACTAAACAATGCTGTTTTGGACTTCCGTATTCGATGGAATACGACTTATATCATGATATCACGGTTCATTGCATTAGGCTCTATTATTACTAATATCACATTATTACCTAGTATTGAAATTGACTTGAAAAAGGGCAATGTGAAAAACTTCGACACTTATCATTTTCTCAATTTGATTGGTTCATATTGGCAGCACTAAAAGATGTCTTATTTCCATTTTATCGTGCAACAACACTACTTTCAGAATCAAAATATCCAACCCTGTCCTTTGCTTATTTAGTTTCAACAGGGTTGAAAATTTTTTTAACAACTATCAAAGATGATCACCCATTACAAAATTGCGTTGAGGCAATTGTTACTAGCTAAATTTAGCTACTATTTTGAGTAAGAAATTAGTTGAGAACAAAAACGTGCAACTTTAGTATGTATAATTGATTTACATTTATTCAAGTTATAGATTTTTTGAAAGACATCAATAATTTTTAGAAAAAGACACTTTTTTGAACTAGGATAATCTAAGTTAATATAGTTGTCTTCTTTATTTTTAACTCGAAAAAATTTTGTATTTGACAAAATCTCATAGTAAAGTCCCCGCGCTTACTTAAAATGTAACACTCAATATGGCTGATTTTACGAATCCTTTGGCGATTGTTCCCTTCTCTGAATTGTTTAACATGTTTCTACGGCATATTCTTACTTAGTCTTTCTGAAATGTTAAAAGACAGTTATTTAGTGTATTATATAGAGATGCAATAAATGAAGTCTGTAGGCAAATATGCATAAGGATCGCCACAGCTTGCGACGTTTCTATCATAATGTTAGTCATTAATATCTAGCGAAGGTGCTTATTCCTACTCTATATAGTTCGATAATCTTCTTTGATAATATTTTGAAAAAAAAATCATCAGAAAAGCGAACAATTTAGAACTTGCTTTACGAATCAGGTTTCTTGAAAAAGAAATACGATGCATGTGACCTATCATATTTTATTTATATTTTTTCTACAAAATAGACTAAATATAAAAGCAATATTTTATTGCACATCAGATCTTCGAATATGTATATTAGATAGCTCCATAAGTTTGACAATTTCTTTGTGCAAAGAAATTCAATATTTATTTATTTTATTTACTTTGTTAGATTGCAGCTTTCTTAGACCCAACAGCTTATCGATATTTAACTGATGAAGATAGTAGTGAAGCTGAAAGAATACTTTTATCAGAATTTGATGTTACCCAATTATTTGATCGATTACAAATTGATACATCAGTAACAACAATGATGTCAATGTCAACATCAAGACCATTAGGACATCAAAGTACTCAAAATAGTACAACATCTCAAGAAAAATCTACGTTAGATGAATTTTTTCGCATGTGTGAAATGCCTTCAGCATCCAATATAACAACAAATTCCATCAAAAAGCAGTTATCATTTAAAGAAGAGCTGTGTCACTATATGTCTACAGCTGGTTCAAGTTCTAAATTCAGTGAATACTGGTGTCAGCACGAACTGCTTCTTCCTCAACTGTCACAGTTTGTTAAAAGATACAATTGTATATCTGCAACAAGTGTTCCCAGTGAGTCGGCATTTAGCATTGGAGTATACTTGCGACGCAAAGCTCGATCGTCACTTTCACCAACAGCTTTGAGATATCCAATGATTTTACGTGAACAGGCAAACATTTATCTTTTCACTTTCTTTCTTTTTTTTGTCTATCAGCTTTTTTCTAGAAATTTGTGTAAATTAGGAATTAGAAAAATCAAATGTAAAACAATAAGACTTTTTTACTAGTCTTAGACGATTGATTTCTCAAAATAAAACAGGTTCAAACTTGTATGAAAAATTTATCTTACTCAAGGAATGGCTTTCAAAATTATTCTCAGCATGTTATCACTTATACCTTTGTTATTGTGACACTAGAATTACGTTATAATATCTGTAGTATATGTTGAAGTGGAAATAAAAATTTTAGGGTAATTTAAAATTGCCCTAGAGCAAATTAAAATTCACGAACGATTGTAATTTCCCCTACAACATATGCTTTATTTCTATAGTTAATCAGTTCTTTATCATTATTTTGAGCATAAGAGTACTAGTGTCAGTCTTAAGATATTACATTAGTAAACCTATTCATATGTTAAAGTAAATGCACAAGGAGATTTAAGAGCTTCTTGATGTATAGTTATTTAGTGTACTGATCGAGTTTTTCAGATACTTCTCTTTTAAAAATCATAGAAAATCTCATGCCTATGATATTACTTTAATATTTTATACTTTAGAAGAACAACAATGAAAATGCACAGTAAGTTTCATTAATACTCCTCACTTTTCACCACCACAATACAACCTTATTCAATAATACCAGGTCTCCGATTGGATCCTTAAAAAAGAGGATCGCTTGTACACGTAATATATGAACTAATGTCCGTAATACGACAAATCACGTGTTACGCGACTAAAGTTCATTTATTACGTGGACAGGCAATCCTCTTTTTAAAGGGTACAATCGGAGGCCTGAATAATACCGATAAAACATATTCTCTCTAGCATATAGAACCTAGATAGACGTTGAGTTTATGTGTACATGCAAACTATCTATTTTACGGATTTGCCAATTTTTATTCTCAAATTAACAATAAAGACAAGATTTTAAATATCGATTTATTTTTTTCGAAGTTATCGATGCATAACGGCGAGATAAAAATCAAAAATTAACTTGGAATTTTCACTACTTTACTTTACTTTACTTTACTATTCGCGTAAAGTAGATCTATTTTACTTTATCGGTGAAGTACAGATGAAGTTGCACTCCTAGAGTCACAATGATTCATGATATGAAAAGTAAAATTATTCAAGAACAAAAATTCTATATTATTACTATGTGCTGCACAACTACTCTGGCGTATTAAATGTCAGATTTTCATGTATAATGAAACTATTATATAACAAAAACAAAGATGTAGTATCAGGTTCAACAGATCTTCATCTAACTTATGACAATTGAAGATGACATTTTTCATTTTTACCGATATCGATCCATCTAATTCAACAGATAGGCTCACTCTTTTTTCATCGAATGAAAGAAAATTCAAGATAAATTATATATATTTGTAAAGGAAGAACTTGTGAAGATATTGATTTTATGCTGCTAGAGTTATATCGAAAGCTACAATAATTCGTAAGAAGCAAAGATACTTGTTGTTTCGTGTGCACCGTTATGGCGTGTTCAATATATTTTAAACTGCTACACCCTGAAGAAATCGATGGACAATAAAGGTTATTGGATTCTTTAATTCTAGCAGAGTCCATTGGAGCTTCACTTTCTCCATAGAAACTCACGCTTGGTTCTAACATTTCATGCAAGATTGATAATCTGACTGATCAGAGCCCTGATAGAAAAGAAAACAGAAGAAAAATACTAGCAGAGAACCTAATAGCATTTTAATACCGTTAGAAAAGTTAAACTGAATTGCAAATTCTCCCTGTTTTATTTTCAATCACGTTTGATTTCGATAGGAATGTACAGAAAAAAATGCATCAAAACTATATCAAATCCCTTTGCTTATGCAGTACAATAACGGAGGTTGCAACTCGGTGGAATAATAAGACCCCATACATAAAATGAACCGCAGTTTGTTACTTGAATCGTATTTGACCAATTACAATTGTTCGACCTCCAAACGTAGCATACCGTTCCATTATTAGAGACACCTGATGCTGGCAGTGAACCTGAATACCAACCAGTACCTTGAGTATCACATTGATTTGAAGCTGGAGCAGATGTTGCTAATTTAGTTCCACCAGCCCCATTAAATCGAACCCAGGTCGTATTTAAGCTGAATAGAGTTCTATCGCATTGACTTCCAGCAGCGGCTGTTGTTAAACGCGTCACATCATTGATTATTGTATAAGATGAGCATTCAGATGGTTCACTATTAGTCGTTCTTGACGTAGTTGCAGTTGTTGTCGTAGTTGCAGCTGTTGTCGTAGTTGCAGTTGTTGTCGTAGTTGCAGCTGTTGTCGTAGTTGCAGTTGTTCTCGTAGTTGCAGTTGTTGTCGTAGTTGCAGTTGTTCTCGTAGTTGCAGTTGTTCTCGTAGTTGCAGTTGTTCTCGTAGTTGCAGTTGTTCTCGTAGTTGCAGTTGTTCTCGATACTAAAAATAAAAGGAAAAAATATGGGACATGAAATTTTTGAAAAACTAGTTACAGCTGGTTGTTGCGAATGGTCCTGTATGAGTAAGCGCAAGGGATACTGGTACGATAAATGAAGCCGCAATAAGGACTACTACACCAGTAACAGCAACAACTATGCATATTTTCGAACGAGCAGTTACCCTTTTATTAGAAAAAGTATGCATATTATCAAAGTCATCATCTCTCCGAAAGAATCGATTTACTCACGCGATGTTTACCGGTACCGAAGTGACATTATTTAAATTAATATTGGGATGGCGTGATGATGCCTATATGTTTTAGTCGATTGTTAAATGAATTCGTAAAATAGTTACTCACCAACTTTGGAATAGCGTTCGAATATGACATTGAAATTATAGATTTGAGACAGGAAATAATTTCAAAAGTTTCTTTGAACCTCGCTATTAGCGCATGCCTTCTTTTATACTGTTGCTTGAGTTTCAGTTCGATGAAACAGGCATTCTTTTTTTTTCTTTACTTTAACGACATTCTATTCATTTTTCTAGTTGTCATGCTATTAATAGAATTAAAATGGAAACCAATCTATTTTACTAGTTGCAGAGAGTAAAAAATATAATGCCTATATGAATTTAGTGATGAATTTCTACTTTCTTGAAAATAAAATATTGATATTCACGTTTGGATTTTATAGAGTAAATTAAATTGAATTTCTATTGTTTGGAAAATCAAGCATTTTCGAAATAATAGAAATTCGATGGATGAATCATAAAAGTTTGAAAATATGTAGCTTATTAAAAGTCGATTTTCTAGAAAATAGAATTAAAAAAATTATAGTGTATTAGCGAGAAAAATAAACCCGGTTTTTTATGCTGATTTATTTTTCAATTCTGTAAGATTGAAAATAGACACTAACGTCAGCATGATTCAAAATTATGAATAAGAGAATGAGAGTCGATATTGATGTGATCAGTGAGTGAATATAGGTTGTTTCATAAGACAGGTGCGCACACTGTAATTTTTATTGAAATTTCAGGAATGCCAAGATCGACTTTAGGTATGGTCACCTAATTTTTAAAATTCATGATTCGCTAGTTGATTTTCGGATTTCTATGAAATGCTTGATTTTTACAAAAGTAGAAAGTCAAATTTATTCGCCAGCAAAACACCATTCGTTGAAAATCGGTATTGATTTTCATAGGCTTGAAAAAATCTGGTTGAATTCATATAGCCATTCCTAGAATATCCTTGATTAAACTCCCCAAGTAAGCAAAAAATGAAGGGAAACTGCCGACATGACTAGTCAGAAATGTCCGCAGCTGCCGTCAAGTCTACTCTGAAACGTCTTGCATACCCGTCTTGGCTAGTCAGCTTAATCAGGAGTGTCTTACAAACACGTCTGTACTAGTCTGAAATGTCCGTGAGCCCAGTCATGTCTAGTCCGTACTGTCAGTTGACCTAGTCCAGACTAGTAAGAAGATTAAAAACAGAGGTTACACGGTGGATTTGAACATCCAGCCCAACAGTATTCGAGATATGACGGACATCCTGACGGGAGACTTGGATACTGAAATAGACTGCCGTAAGTATATATAGTCTAAACTTATATATTGACTCCCATCCATACATAGAAGATGAGAAACAAACCGATGTAAACGGTATTGACTAGTCTGAAGCATCTTTTGGACACCTCATGACTAGTCCGTTTTTAAGAAGTGTTTATTTTACTCAATGCTTATCGAATTTTTTCTAGCTAGAAGGGCAATTAGAGAATCTGCTGTAATCCATAGTGCATTCGAAAAGATTTAATATATTGCGTGCATCCCTGTCTTGATATATTCTATTTTATTTTGCATGTGCATATGCTAAAAGTATAAAAGTGTATCAAAACATAAAATAGTCGGGGTTAGTACTAACAACAAAATTCATCTCGTATCTAGGAATGCTAATTTATATGTTTTTTTCAACATGTGAGATGTGCTAAATTTAAAAATATTGAGAAGCATCTAAATCTTTTCATATAATACTATTATGTTAGTATATTTTAAATATCAATTCTAATAATTTAAAATAAACCAAAAATAATTTTTATTATTAGATGAATATACGGTGATTTTAATTTAAAACTAACCTAAAAAATAATATGAAAAAAATTAGCTTCTTCCCGGTATAAATT